TATATATATATATATATATATATATAATTATAGTATATTTCAAAATATATTTTTCTCTCGAGATATTTTAAATGGAATGTATTATTGTCAAGAGACTCTAATCAATTGTTTTCTTTTGATCGTTTGATAAAAGTTATCAATTTTTGTTTTTTTTCTAATTTGTTATAAAAAGGCTTGTGCAAAAAAATTACAAAATATATTACTCTCAAATAAAACAATAAAATTGAAACTTGAAGTGTCAATTATTTAATCTTCGATTGTAAAAAAAATTATATTTATATTGCAATATAAATATAACAAGAGTACCTTGTTAAGATTAATACTTTACATACAAAGTAAACACACGTATATATATACAATTATAAAATATAATTCTAACAATTAGAAATATATGTATATAATACTCTTTTCTAACTGATAAAATAAAAAAAAAATAAATAAATAACAAAGTAATAATACAAAAATAAAACTGCATCAGTGAGAAAAAATTGTATTTTTTTAACGTAAACTTTTCACGTAAAATGTTAAATATATCCTATAACTTTTATTTAAAACATCAAGTTCTTAAATTTTTATATGAACAATAAAAGCAAAAGAATTGATTTATGAAAAACATCTATCTATATATTTATAATTATTTTAATGACCTAAATACTACATTACATCTATATGACAGAATATTATTTCGTAATAATTATTTCTTTCGTTCCGTAATGTTCAACAGGTGTTTAGAAATTTCAGTCTGATGCAAATAAATTATTCGTCATGACTTTCAAATGTTTTATGATCCTTACAATATAGAACAACGTTACGTTTAATTTAAATATCGCGCCATTTTTTGATTAAATATAAAATATATTAATAATTAAATAAATACTATATAAAATATATATTAATATAAAAGATTAAATATAAATATAAATATAATATGCGGAGAAAATAAACAAAAATATGAAAAAAAATAATAATTACAAATCGTTAAAATGCTATTAATAAATACCGAGAAATATAATCGTTATTTAAACATATAATAATATACATTTAATGGAAGGTAATATTTAATTGTAAAATTCAATGTAAAAAAAAAAAGAAAAACAACGACGCAATAGTAACGCGCGATAGAAAATTGAAATGCCACCAAGTATTATTACGGTCACGTGGTAAACTCACCTCGATGTTACTCATAGTTTGAAAGGCCGTAAACACCATCATGAAACCAAAACTTAATACTAAAACATTTAGGAAACCTTTATCAATTGCCATGATTGTTGATAATTAATAAAATAACTTTTCTATTGTCGATAATTTTTTTTTATATTATATTTTAAATCTTCTATTGAACGTTTCGCGCCTGTTTATTAACAAAATTAAATTACACCGAAACAAAAACTGCACCACGATACACAGATGGTCACCGCATGAATGAAGTGAAAATTATGCCGTGACGTTTTACAGTACAACATACTTGTTTTGCTTCCTGCTATATATATATATATATATACATATATATATATATATGCATATATATATGCTGAATATAAGATATGCCTTGAAGTTGTCGTTAACTCGTTTCTCCCATCTCCGCTATTTATCGATAAAAAAATCACGTGATTATACATCAACGATATATCGAAACTAACTTCATTCGTTTAATAGAATTTAAACTATGGTGGGTAGAGGTAAGGAGAATCATCTGTGGATATGAAAAAGTGTCCGTCGAAATGCATTAAATTAGGGTAGCGCCACATTAGCATCAGGGTAAATTTTAAAGGAAGCGCCAAATATTATTAGAGTAGGATTGAGAAATAAACAAGGAAAGAAAAACTTACGCTAAGTTATAGCGCGCTTTTCAAAATCCTCATAAAGTAGGAAACAACATATAATGATTTTTTGTGTATCATTTTTTAACGTCTACTTAGTGAATATTAATATACTTCAATTATATATTATACTTCAATTCGTTTACAATTGCTACATTCATACTATACCCTTTGTCTACACCAGCGCCATTCTGGAAGGTTTTTGAACTATTATTTATAGCATACAGCTGGACACTTGTTCAAATGAGATGATTTTCCTAACCTCTACCCAGTGAAGCCAGATCGTGGAACATTTCGACCCCTTCTCTCGAGCCCAGCAAGCCTCGCACACAACAAAATTTACGTGTCGGTTTGTCGGAAAACCGAAAGAAGCCGAGAGAAGCCGAGATAGCTACACGACAGAGGAGAAATAATACCCCCACCACGCATCGCGGAGAAATACATGGACACAATACACATTTGAACAATGTGTAAAACAATGTGTAAAACAATGTGTTTGTGTCCATGTATTTCTCTGCGACGCGTGGTGGGGGTATTATTTCTCCTGTGTCGTGCAGCTATCTCGGCTTCCCTCGGCTTCTTTCGGTTTTCCGACAAACCGACACGTAAATTTTGTTGTTGCGAGGCTTGCTGGGCTCGAGAGAAGGGGTCGAAATGTTCTGCGATCTAGCTTCACTGCCTCTATCCTCCATAAATATAGATGTTATTTTTCTATCATTTCTAACCTAATCGTGTTATAATCACATAATTTTACTTAAAAATGATTTTTTTTAATCTTTCAATTGATATATTATTCTAAATTAAAGTTATTCATTGGATTTAAACTTGTGTCTACTGCATGAAAAAGAAAAACAAATTTTCTAATTAATATGATATTAATAGAAGAAATTTGTAACGTGCCATTTTCTCCGTTGGTCACTGCATTAAATGCAATTCAATGGACATCGAATAATTTTATATCTGTTATTACAGAAAAAGGAGTTCATATATTAGTAAGTATAAAATTAATAACAAATTTGTAATACATATGATGTATATGTTCTATTCTGAATGTATTCATTTTAATTTATAATATTATTGTAAATGTTTACAGAGTAGACATTTAATAATTGTAATGTATGTATTAAATGAAATAAAAGTATACATTTGAAATTTTTAATTGATTTAATGTATACTTTGTAGGAATTAATACCTTCTATGAAGGAACATCAACCAGATGTTACATTTTCATGGTCTTTTATATATCCTTCTGATTTTTTACCTGCGTACGCATTTATTAATGAAGTAACATCCTTGGCATGGAACATAAAACGTAGAGAAATATATTCACTTTTAATGGAAGGTGCTTTGGCACCTAAAATCAATGACGCATCTGATGTGTTACCAAGGATAATTGATGTATCATGGTCACCAGAAAATTTAATTCATCCTAGGAAGTCCATAGTTGCAATCATAACTTCTGTTGGTGCTGTTGAAATTGCACATAAATTATATGACGTGAGAAATTGGTATTCCTTGAGTAATATATCATCTATATGGTTACAAACGATTGAAGATAGTATTAAAACTGATTTGTCTAATTGTAAACATGAAGAATCACGTTTTACAAGCATACAACAAAATCTTAGACGATTGCAAGCTTGTGCAATGACATGGAGTGAACTATTTCGATTAGAAAATACTTGTTATGCATATTTTGTAACTGCTTTTCGTAGTTCAGAGATAGTCATTTGGAAAATTGATCAAGTAACTGATTCTACTGAGAATGTAACACCAACCATGATATCTAAAGAAAATTTAAATATGAACACAAAAATAAATGTATTATTATGGTATACTATAAAATCAAAGAAATACTTAATTATTATTGGATGTTGTAATGGCCAAATCAAAGGTCTTCTTTATACTGGTGATAATAAATGTTTAGAGAAAACAGGAGAAGAAAAATATTACAATAATTCAGATCTTATCGTAGTCCAATCTTTAACTATGGTTTCACAAAATGAAAATGGAATGCAATTTATTGCTTGTAAAAGTTATTTTATCTTACTGTTTGGTTTGACTAAAACTGGTAAATTAATGTCTTCACATTATTTACAAACAGAAGGATTTTCAATTTCGGGTATGTATATATAATTAATAAATATCTTTTAAAATAAAAATTAAAATGTAAGTAATTTAAAAACTATTAATCATTACTTTTAGGAATCAGTGTTATTGCTCCTGAACGTGTTGTAATTACTACACAAAATTGTATGATGTATACGTTTGATACACAAGAAAATAACTTAAAAAGTATTCCAATAAATTATAAATTACCTAAGATACGTGTTCAATATTTGGGTCTTGCTTGTTCTCCAAATTGTACCATGTTAATTACCGTAACTAGTCCTTATTGTACATTTGATCATTTAGTAAAAACAGAACCAAGTATATTGTACATATGTTCCATAGATGGAAAAGAATGGGATCCAGTGAATATAATACAAAATTATAGCAATAAAAATTCTAAATTACCTTGGGATTGTCTCGAATTAATCAGACTTAAAGCTGCTAAAGTTTCAGATCCAACGAGCGTGTTACCTAAAGTACCACACAATTTAGAATCTATTTCATTATATGAATTAAGAATATCATTATGGGTGTCACTTATGACTGAAGTATTAACAAAGAAAAAGATAGTTCGAGAAATTGAACATGAAGAAAATATAGCAGAAATTCACTCACTAGTTTTTATTCATTGCGCATGTACATATATCGATCGTTTAATGAATAAAACACATTTATCAAAGAATCAGGAAACTTCTATAAACCTGCTAAGAATGTATTTAGAAATTTATCTTGCTGGTGAAGAGGGAGAAGAAGAAACAATTACAACAAAATATGTACGAGAAGCATTAAATAAAACATCTCATTTCGAATTAAAAGCAGACGTATGTAATCTATGCCATGAAAAGATATATGAAATACCTTGGAAAACTATATACTGTCCACGTGGACATGTGTTAGGCAGGTGTGCTTTAACCCTTCTTCAAATTACAACAATGAAATATCGAACTTGCCCACTATGTAAGAAAATATATCATTCCGACTTAGACCAAGAATATGAAGAAGTACTATGTGTGTTTTGTAATGTACCTGCTTTATATAAAGGTCATTATCAATATAATAAAGATTCGGAATTACTTGCAAGAGATTTATCAAAACATCCAATATCAGAATTATCAGGAAGCCAAGATCCTTCGGAAGAAAATGAGGCAGAATCTTCAAATGCTAATTCTGATAAAGATGAAACTGCTAGTATTCAAGATTGGGACATGATGTGATTATTATTATATATATAATATATAATATCTAATTATATAAAAAAAAATAATAATCACATTTTATAGTTTATTAATTTTCTTCCCTCCGGGCGAAAAGCGCCAACTTTTCTCCCGCTGTTCAAAACGAAGTTGCCGCTTTCCGCCTACGTCGAGCAGAAAAAATGTATACTCACCATGGGCAGTAAATAAGAAAGCCTCAGAGCACATGTTTGTTGACCACGGCTTCGCCTCGGTAAACAATTACATGTACTCTGAGATATTTCTTACTTTACCTCCCTAGGTGAGTAATATACTATTTTTTGTTTCTTTACAAAAACTTTTTTTTTTTTTTAATTTTAGTATTGTACAGGAATTTGTTTTTACAATGTTATTAATTACTATATATATATATATATATATATACATAAAATAGTATTAATAAAATAAAAAATTTTTACATTTATTAATACTTGTGTATTTTATTCGTTCTCTTTTTGGCTAATAATTATTACATATCATACTCCTCTTTGCTTATTATAAAATTTAAATAAAATAATTAAAAATATGATCAAAATGGATGTATTCTTTTGTTTCTTTTTTTCATTCATTTTCATTATCATTTTTAACACATATATAAGAGTGTCTTTCAAGAATTGTAATATCTTTCTCAAGTTGTTGTAATTCACGTTCCAGTTTTGCCTTCCTTTGCACTTTTGGTGGAGTATCAATTACAAATGGTAAGGAGTGAAATTGTTTCATCATTTCGTCCCATCTTCTTTTCATTCCCTATTAAAATAAAAAAAAAAAGATAATTATTAATAGAAACAAATATTTATAACATTAATAATTTAGATACATCCATACATCTAGAAGTTCTTTTCTTTCTTCTTCTGAGATACAATGGTATTTTGGTTCATCGATACAAGTATCACTTGATTTATTTTCTTTTAATTCCTTTTCTACTTCTTCACATATTATTTTTTTAACAATTTTTGGAACTTTTCCAAATCCCTATAAATGAATTAATTTTAATAATAAAAAATATACAAATAATTGCTAATTATTTACATATTATATGCTTATAGAAACAAAATATCTTTCTATGTATATAAATAGATAAATGAATAAATTTTAATAATAAAAAATACAAATAATTGTTAATTATTTACATATTATATGCTTATAGAAACAAAATACCTTTCTATGTATATAAATAGGATACAATCCACTAGATTTTAAATCATGAACATCTCCGTACCGTGTATCTACATATCTTTCTTTATGAATAAAAGGTTGAGATTTCTTTATATTAATAATATTTTGTTTTTTAAAATTGATACGACCTGATTTAACCGGATCAACAGGCAACTCTCCACATTTTTCTTTTTTTTTTATTTTCAATGGCACCCACGATGGTAACTTCCGTTGATATTCTGGATCACGAATGTGTACATGTTTTACATCTGTTTTGCGATATTCTATCCGACTTTTTTTCTTTAAATATTGAGATGGTAAATTTAATGGTACTTGTGGTAAACCAAATGTACGGTGTGAATATTTTTCTTTCTTAATTTCTGTTTTTATAGGTTTATTATATTGAGAAATATACCTTTAAAAAAATAAAATCATCGTTTTAAAACTAATACATTAAAAATAGTAAAAAATAAATGATAGAAAATTTTCAAAAGAAAAAAAAAAGAAAAGTACCTTATATAATTCTAATTAATTATTAATATAATATTTTTAATGTTACCTTTGTCGTTTTGCATATTCTATTGAAGGACCAGGAATTAGGTCCGTAATTACTTCATCTGTTTCTGATTCTACGTATACCATTTTTGAAAAAGAGACAATATACAGAAACTTTTGAGTAATATTTCGAAAATTATATTTATATAAAGTACATCACACTTCTAATATTAAAAATCAATCATGAGACAGACGATAGTAAACGAGTAGAAAAAATTATTTATTATACAAACCTATTTAGTTGCTTAGTTACCCAAAGTAGTTGATCAAATCATTTTTGAATTTGAATGCGTTGCCGCGCAATTTTTGATTCTATCAAAATTGTATTTAAAATTATTATATGAAATAGTTTTTTTTTTAAATTAGATTTTTTTACAATAAGATGGATATAATATTCATAATAATGAGATAATACTACAATCTTACAATTAAATTAAATAGTAATTTAAATAAATTTACGTGTAAATAAGTATTACAAATGTAACGTTGCATTCATGCATAATATAAACAAAGTATTACTTCATCTTATTGGATAATATTTATCATTATATTATCAGTAATCATGTATAATATAAATATTAAATAAAAATATATACTTTAATGAATAATTAACAATAAAATGATCTATATACTATTTAATTATATTATATTTATTTATATATTTAACATATAATTGTAACAGTTATCAATAATGATTATGTGTTCATCATATATGTATTAGGAATTTATATATGTACAAGAAGCACAACAATTTATTATAATAATAATTAATTATACTTATCGTAATGTTTAGGTTATGTACGACACGAATGGAAAAATTTTAAACTTAAATAATCACAATGCAATATGTAACAGCCGGTTTGTGAGGTGATATCTTATCAGAATACATTTCAATTCAGTGTTATGTTAATGGTATAATGTTTGATTCACACAACCTATGTAATTTTAATTTAGTTTACACATATGTTACATTTAATATTATTTATATTTATAAAAATGAATATTTTATATTTACAGAAAAAGGTGTAGAAAATTGCAGATCAACAAAAATGTTTATAAGATTATATTCCTTGTTTGTACTTGCATTAGATCTTATAACGCTATCATTTAGAATATGTTATACAATTTTAGTTGCTTTTTATCGAGCATTTAGACCACCACCATTAAAAAATCTTAATGGAGAAATAGCAATGGTAATAATATTTATAAAATGTAGATATCAAAAAATATCTGTTATTCATAATTATCTGAAATATTTTATTAATATTATATTTAATAATTTAGGTTGTTGGAGCTGGAAGTGGAGTAGGTAAAGAAATAGCTATTCAATTAAGTCAATTAGGTGTGATTGTAGCTTGTGTGGATATCAATGCTGAAAATTGTAAAGCAACTGTACAACGTGCTGTACAATTATCGGGTAATGCAAAACCATATATTTGTGATGTGACGAATGAAGATCAAGTATGTATTATTAACCGTATATAATAATGCATTTATAGATACATTATGATTTTTATAATATGCATACTTTTATAGGTAACTGCTACAGTAACAAAAATTGTTTTAGAAATAGGTGAAATTACAATGTTGTTTCATTGTTGTGGTTTTCTTAGTCCGCATGCATTAATACGAGATCCACCAAAAATAAGACAAACCATTGATATCTCAGTACTCAGTCATTTTTGGGTAAATAATAAAAGTTACATTTAATTAAATTATTATATATAATATCATAAAAATTGTATAACTTATATTTTAGTTATTGGACTCAGTATTGCCAAGTATGAAACGAGCAGGAAAAGGACATATTGTAGCGTTATCTTCTGTAGCAGGACTTTCTGGTATTACAGACAAATTATTTGTATAATTTGTATATAAATTTTGTATAATAAATTGTTTTTTGTAGCAGGATTGTCTGGTATTACAGGTGGTAAAGGATGTATTCCTTTATCTGCTGCACAATTTGCAATTCAAGGTCTAGCAGAATCTTTACATACAGAATTAAGACACTCTAATAGTAATATTATTATTACATTAGTTCATATATATCCATTTGTTGTTGGAGCAGAATTACTAAAAGATATTCGATTTAGGTAGGTATAATTTTTATGTTCATTTTATATTGTCTTAATATTTCAATATTCAAAATAGATTTGAAAAGATAAATCATTTTATTTTCATTTTATTAAAGGATACCTAGTTATTTTGGAACAATGGTTGCTTCAGAGGCTGCTCATAAAATTTTAAATGGTGTTCGTAGAAATTATACAGAATTTAGTATACCAGGGTATCTGTTATATATTGGACATGCACTCAGGTAATTTCTAAATATTTATTATTTACTTTTCTATGTATTATTTAATGTTGTATGAAATCAAATTTTAATATTAAATATTTATTGTTTTTATTTGTAGAATGTTGCCAAAGAAAGTTTCTTTTATGTTGAGAGACTTACTAGATAGTGGAGTTAATTTTGGATAATAAAAAATTAATTGCTATATTGTTTCAACCTACCATGGTACATATTTACTTTTTATTATAAATCAAAACAAATATAGAATGTATTTTATTATTCTATTTTTTTAAATTTACATATACCATGAATATTTAGTATAATTTCTAATCATTTGATCAATCTCAATAATCTTAAACTTGATATTTGTTATTAAGTTCATATCTTGAATAACAATAAAACAATCTCACCTAACATTTTAATTTTTAGATACAATGTACGTTCTGTAAAATATACTCAATACTTTTTTATTTATGTGTAATAAATCAAATGATCAAATTAATCTTCCCTGTACTGATATTCTAAAAAAATTATTTCCTATAAACAAATCAAAATTTGGAATAGTTGTTGAAAAATTTGACCATTTAAAACTTCGATATACCTTTTATTATACGCAATCTAATGTTTAAACAAATGAATTGTTATTTAAATATCAGTTCAATATAGTATACACACAAACATAGAATATTGTCTAAATTAATTTTAATTAATCGAAATTATATATGAATTTATAAATTGTATTTATACGAAAGAAGAGAGCTTTGATGTTTATTCATCGAGTTCAAACACAATACTAAATCTTTTAAAGTCATTCAAGCTAACTGTATTAAGGAGGTCAAATTTGAATTTAAAAGTAATGTTTACATCTTTCAGAAAACATTTAAATGAAAGATAAATCTCATGACAAAAACTAGTTTTATTATTTGATTAATTAACTATTCTTTGGTTTTATTGGTGTCTTGAAGAATGCTAGTTTTTTTTTAAAGAGTGACACTAAAAACATTTTGGAAAGAAAAATTTGATATCCTTGAAACTATCCGGGCATATGTAATTGTGTACATATGTATGATTGTTATTACATATAAATAAAAGTTATAAAAAATTATATATATATATATATATATATATATAATCTTATATTTATTTTGTTGGGCCTTTAAAACTAATATTAATCAAATTCACATAAAAATCTATGCTAAATTGATGATTGGGTAATGAACATCTTTTTGGAATGAATTATGTTCGTTAACCAATCATCTCCTGTACATCCATTTCTTTTACGATCTGATAAATATGAATAATTTCATAAAATCTAAAGTATTTTATGTGACATAAAATATTAATTAACATAGCACAATATTAAGGGTGCAAATAAAGTGCATTTTGTTTGTTTTGTTTTATATATATATATGTATATATATATACAGATGCATTTATACTGTCGTCAATTATGAAATAATTCTGCCTGAAAAAATAAAACAATATTGATATTTTGTATTATAAAAGAAGATACGATAACAAAAATATTTGATGATGAAAATAAATTATGATTTATAATGAGAATTCATTAAAATTGAGAGATTTTAATGAAGATGGTTCAGATTCTAAAATTGAATTCAATTTATGCTAGTCTAAACCAGGAGGTGCTGGTTCTGATAAATCTGGTTCTGTGGTTGTTTCTGGTTTTTGTTCACCTGGAAAATCACCAGGAGGTGCCTGCAATTTATAAATTTTAATATAATTATTATAATAATTAAAACTAAATTATATGATACAAGAATATATTTACAATATCAAATTCATCGTGCATTTCACAAGATGATTTGCCCTGTATAATATCCATTATGGATTGTGGAATGTGTGCTTTCTGTAATAAATATATAATTAATAATTAAAGAGAGAACTATTAGAGCACTAGATGTAAATTAATAACAATTACCTGATTTTCAGTAAATGCTTCAACATGAGATAACAAAGGTGCTCTTAAATTTGGTGCCATTTTTAATGCTTCAAGCAATTGTGCTGATGGTAACTGTAAAATAACTGCAAAACTTTGTGGTTTCGTACGTTCACAGCATTTAACGAAACCTTCCCAAACTTTCGGTTGTTTCCATACTTGTTTAACTATCAAACGCTGAAGTATATTCATAACAAAACCGCTAAGTCTAGGATACAGAGCTAAACTTTGTATAACCGTACGCATTAACAACGTAGGTAAGGGTGTAATTTCCATTAAATGTTGTATTACAACGGCAACAGTTTCTTGCGTGTAAACTTGATTTTCCGCAAAACATAAGGAAGTTGCTGTAAATTAGTATTTATGGTTAAATAAATTTATAAAATATAAATTAATTGAATTAATATAATGAATTCATAAAAAATAATATACCTTTTATTACAGTTTTTAGTTCTGCTTTGCTGGGATCAATATTGTGCAAAGCTATCAATAATTCTGCAGGTGTAATTGGAGATGAATGTAACACACCACTATCATTATTATGTGTACCTAAAAGTCTATTAAATACCTATCAAAATACAGATAAATTAATATTTTAGTATTGGCTTAAAATTATTTATCAATTAACTTTGAGAAAAATATATTTACCTCTTTAACGACAATAGGGTTTAATTTTATTAATTTAGGAAGTGCAGCAATAACTTCTTTTTTGGTCAAACCATTTAAAACAGGTATAAGAAATCTTACATCTGATACTCTTGTTTGATATAATTCTCTTACTTTTGATACTAATTCTGCGCTTGGAATAGCTAAGTATATAATAATATATTACAGTTATAAATCAGAAGAATATAAATGTTATAAATCTAACTTTCAATTCACTTACATTTTTCTGTAAGAATATGTATAATTCTGGTGACCAAAGTTTCTGCTCCTTTCGGACAATTTTCAACAAGTGCAAGTAATTGAGGACTACCCATTCCTAATGACCTTACAGGTCCTTCAACTAATCTGAGAACCATGCGTTTTACATCTGCTCCCATTGATGTGTACACTCTTGCTAATCTAATAGAAGAAATTTTATATAATTTATATTGATTTTGCATAAAAATTGAAGAGAACTCATATGAAAAAATACTAACTCATGAATAAGATCTTGATGTTCGCTTAATAAAGCCAAATATAATCCTAAACAAGCTCTGGTAGTGGATTCTGTCCATAGATTTTCTGTTTGAGGTCTTCCTCTATCTTGACCAAAAACTATTTCAGGAGGAGTTTGTAAACGTAAAAAGCCTAAATAAAGAACTGCATATTCTTCTATAAGTTTGCTTAATTCAGGTCGGGCATATAATTGGCAAACCAATTGTATTGCTGCCTCTCTTATCTGTTAGAACAAAAAATAAAATCATGTAATATAATTTCAAAAAATAAATCAGCTAATAATATAATCACGAAAACAACATACCGCATTGTTTTCATGTCCTGTATGACATAACAAGACATTCAAAAAAACTAATTGTTTAGTAGGTCTTCTAATAACCATTTCTTTCAAAAGTTGCAATGGTGCAAGACCTTTTGTTTCATCTGATGAAACCATTTTCAAAGCTTCTACTGCATCTTCCGTTATTAAAGGTGCTTCTAAATACAATCTATAGAAAAATACATGATTATATTTGATTTTAATATAAAAATATAATATTACTTATATATAATAAAAATGAACATATATGATAAGTAAAGATCTATTACCTATACAATAAAGCATCACGATCCTTGCCTTGAACCAAATCAATCGCAGAAACTAAAGTACATAACAAGAAATTGTAGGCTTGGTGTGGAGCTTCTTGTGGCTTTGTACTTAATGTCGTTCGTCTTTGAAAACCTTGCAATAAGGCATATTCCTCGTACAACCAACCCAAAGCTAAATCTAAACGATTTCTCATATCATCCGTAATATAATGAAGTACTGCTTCTTTAATATATGGATTGAAGGTTGCTGCTAATGTTGTTAAGATTTTTGACCTATAATATTTTATAATTATTTAAATAAATTAATATCATTTAATTTTTTTCTTAGTATTGATTCATATTAATATTATCATTAATCATTATACCTTACAGAAGAAACACCACCAAGAACTGCAACTTTTTCTGCAAGTAGAATTCTGTTAACTGCCATTAACAACATCGTTTCTTTTCCTTCCTTACTAAGTGGTTTTGTAACTTCTGATAATTTTAAAGATTTCAAACGATTTCGTGCTTTGGCTAATGATTTTTCATGTGCCTCTAATGATGCTTTAGCCTCTTTTTCTTTCTCCCTATCTTTTTCACGTTTTCTTTCTCGTTTTGCTTCGGCCACGCTAATTGTTGGATTTTTGATCAAATCTTCCATCACAGCATCCTCATCTTTGGCATCTTTCTTACTTTTCTTTGCCTTAGCTTGTTTAATTTGGGCAGCCAAAAGTCTTGCAATCGTTTGACATTGTACATTTATATCAGTTGTTGAAGTTGGTTGATATTCTCTTTGAAAAATGGTTGTCATAGTATCTGGAACCCATGCCTGTTACATACAAACATTTAATATGTTAGTATATTTCAATAATTTTATATAGAATGAATTATAATGTATTTTGTTACAAAAAAAATGTACATACCATACTATCCATTACTAATTCTGTTGCTATTTCTACACTTAATCTTTCTGCTATAAAACTTTCAGAAAGTTCAATTAACTCTGGTAATTTTGGTACTAAAACTGGACTTGCTACCGCTTCAGTTTCTTCAGGTATTAAAGAAGTATCTACTTTTGCACGTTTAACAGCAACTGCAACGGCTGCTTCCTAATAAAATAATAATATGAAAATATTTAAATGTTATATTTAAATTAATTTATTATTCAATTAAAATTGAACTTACCTGTTGACGTTTTTTAATGCGCCTGACATCTTCTGGCTTAGGATAAGCTTTGATAATTTCCTGTTCTTTGGCACCAAGCTGAGCTAATAATTTAGCAATAGTTGAAGCAAATTCTATACCCGATGGATGTTTCATTAATCCAAGTAAAGTAAGTTTCAACTGCTTTTGTACGCTTGTCACTTGAGAATCGGATAAAGTTGGAGGTAAATCATGTTGTAACTTCTGTAAAGCTGATAAAAAATACCTCATTTAATTTATGTTTATATTTTTGTTATTTCATTAAATCAATGAATTAAAGTACCTTGAATAACACTAGACATAAATTGTGGTCTAGTTTTAGCAATTAAAGCCAAAGAACCCATACATGTCATTAAATTGACACTACTGACATGTGGGGATCCATGAAATTTAATAAGTAAATCCATTACATGGTTTGCTTCTTCTTCTAATTTTCTTCTACGAGCTATCTTCAATGTCAATGGAATATCTTCAAGAGAAAAATCATCTGGTTTTTTTGGAGCATCTGAATCTGGATAAGTTTGAATCAAAACAACTCCCTCCAAAAATTTCACTGCTTGTGTTCTAATGCTATAATAATAATATTTTTAATAATAATTTTTTTAATCTGTTTGTTTGGTTTGTAGATTACTTTGATTTGTACAAATTACTTACCCATCATTATCGCTATCTATCATATTAATAATTTGAACTTTTAAACAACTTAGTTGGGTCCATGCCATTTCCATTTCTAATGTTACAACTGCAGCATACGAGATCCATTTTAAAGCAGCTCTAAGAATTCTTCCACTAGCTCGCAGAGCTCTTTTAGCTACTACCGGTGCTTTGTCTGAGACAAGTCTTAATAGTACTGGAACTATTCGTGGTATTGTTTCTGGTTGTTTTACCCTAAAATTTATAATTAAGTATTTGCGTTAGATATATAGACATAAATATATATATTATAAAATTAATTTGATAAAAATATATCTAATAAAATATTATGAAATAATATTAATGATTATTACCCTGCTTCTTCAATAAATCCTGTAATTGTCTTTCTCACTTCAGCAACTCTGTCTAAAGAAAATTGTATAGTCTCATCCAAATACAATGGAAGTAATTGAAGTTCCTTATTACATAAAATTTCTTGGACTTTACATAAATTAGAAACTTTTACATCTACATCAAGGCACGTAGAAGCTTCATTTAACCATTCAACAACCTGAAAATGAATAAATTTTATTATAAAATTTATAAAAATTGACACAACATCAAATGGCAATGTATACAATTATACATTATATATATATATATATATATGAAATTAAAATGTGAGGTTATATTACTTACCAAATCACCCGGCCCTTTTTCCTGCTCTGATCTTCTGTGTATTCGTGGGTCCATCTTACTTGTAAATAATACGAAAATAAAAAATGTACTTTTATTAAAATATTAATTTAAAGAAATAATCTTCCAATATTACATAAAAAATACACATAAGGCCACTAATCTCATACAGACTATATTATTTAAAAATAAAACATATTATTATATATATGTACAAAAAAAACGAATTTTCGTTATATTTTATAACGTGATTTATATATATTTTATCATATATTTATGACAAAAAAAAATAAACAACGTAGTTCTTAATACTCTGTTAAAAATTCGCTTCTTCCGCCATTTTGAAAATATTCAGAGTTCTTTCTATTAGTAGAGAAATTAAAAACACACTGATTGTGATTGGGTATTACAAAACAAGCGGCAAAAGATAACCAATAATCGTCGATATTTTAAATTAAAAGTGTTTAGTCACTTTTCAAATTTTCATATTTATTAACTTAGAAAGTAATCATATGCATAATTGAACTTTATTTAATTACTGTATACGTCCACCTCAAACTACAATAATATTAAAAAAAATTAATTATATTATTATATCATTCAATTATATAATTTTTATTATATGTACATTTAAATGTATTTATAATATAATATTGTATTGATTATAAACAATTTTTTGTTGTTAGTATTAAATACAATTAGAAAGATCTTATCTAAATATGATGTTTTGTTTTTTATGTATTCCATCTTTTAATCACATTAGATAATTAATCATATTTTCCTGATTATTTTGTAATTAGCAATTTGGTAACTCTGTTTTTATATACGATAAGAACTTTTGTGTAAATATTATCCGCTTACAATTTATAATTTAAAGTTTAATTACTTTAATTATTATTATTATTTAGGAATTTATTATTTCAATACACTTAAATAGTTTGAAAATATCTAATAATCAATGAAATGTATAAATTTGTTTGTTTATTTTGTTTATAATTTAAAATTATTTAAATTGTTGAGGTGGTGGCCCAAAGATACTACCACTTTGTTTACTAGCTGTTCTTGATGGAGCAAAACCAAGCATCTTTTGTATATTCTGTAAATGAAATTATTATTATTATTATATATTAATATAATTGATATGACAAATGTATTCGTATAATTGTTTGTACGTACTTGTCTAATGCTCATAGTACAAAGTATATACAGAAATATAAAAGAACATTCTGTATAATCATCGCCTGGTAAATTTCTATGCGATAAACCTTGTATCCAACTTATTGGTACAAATGGCAATTTTGCTACTACTCTGCCATCAAATATACTATTAAACATACTTAAAAGGGCAGTAAATGCAAATCCAATTGCAAACATAGATTTCATTTTGACAAGTGACAAATCTCTGTTATTATTCTTAAGCCTTTCTTCTTCACGTTCTATTTTCTTTTTTTGTTGTTTGTCCAATGAATCTCCATGAGCTTCTTTTCTTTTCTCCACTAAATATAAAATAAAATTAATACAATAGCATATAAAAAATTATATACTTTAATTATAACATAAAATTTGTCATTTTACATTTTTTACTCTGTTTCTCTACTTCTGCTTTTAATTTCTGATATTTTTCAGTTCTGTAAACCATCAACCATGTCAATCCTGAAAATATAAAAATAAAGGTAATATTATAATAACAATAATCATAGCAAAATCAAGTAAATTTATTTTATAAAATATCATAGAAAAATAATTTTCATTCATTGTAAATATGGTTCAAACTTACCTTCACCCAGTAATGCTGTACATACACTAATGAAAACAATTAAAATTGTGTCTGCCCACATTTTGTTATAAACAAATAAATTTTCTGATTCAAATAATTTTTATAAATGATTCAATACAAAATGGAAATAAAATTATTGTTTTTTTTTTTTTACAAAAACAACACTGAATGCGGTGGTATTATTTCTGCACACATATGTAATGCATATGTATGGTATGCATGATTTTGGTTATCAGCAGTATGTCGGAACAAATTTTTGGAAATATCAGATGGTTCTAAAATAAACTAGCTTAAATGATCGAATTAATTTGTTATTTTAATTGTACAAAAAGAAAAAATATTCTTATCCATTAACTTAAAATAAGATTATAATATAAAATTAATATTTAAAATAAATAATAACTTATTATTTAGTAAATAACATAATCAAATAAAATCGTGCAGATTTTTCTCTTCATACGATGATAACCAATGAAATTATTTTTAATATTACATTCCATTCAAAATCTGGATACTTGAGATAATTAACAGCCAATAAAATAAAGACTACATCATTTAATTGTCCAATCACATAAGTAATAATAATTTTTTCAATACTAATATGAATCTATACACGAACGTGTATTCATCTAAATAAAATATTAACATGTATTTATTTATAATCGAGCTTAACTAAAATATCGTAAAAATATCTTATTCAAAAAATTTAATTTTAAGAATTTAAGATTATTTATATGTCTAGATATTATCGTATATTTAGATTAATTATCCAATATCACTCGAGATACGGGAGACCTCAGAAATGGATGCGGTCAAAAAGCTAACTAAAACATGTTAAGAAAAACCGGCACTTTTCAAATATACTTATAAAAACATGTTTATCATTAGTTGATAAACTAATGTTACAGAAGGTCAAACAGAATTATGTACATATTATTCTAACATATTCAGATAAATAAAAAAAAAAAAGAATTATATTCATTTACACAAAATATCATGCCTTGTCATTTATCTAATTGCAAGTACATGGATTATATGTATATTCGGAAGATTTGATAAATAAGAAGTTTTTAATTATTGGACTTAGGTTATTTAATAGATTGTGTATTTTAATTTTAATTATTATTTTAAGTTTTGCATTATAATTATATTATTTCAAATCTTTTTTATTACAAAATTATCAATATGGCTTATTTAAAGACTTCAAATAACCGAAAAATTTTATGTGTTGGATTAACTTGTCTTGACATAATACAAACATGTACATATTATCCTCCAGAAGATTCTGATCATAGGTATATACATATATTTTTGTTCCTTTTTTTTTCTTATTAATTTATAACAATATAAAATATTTATTCTCATTAATTTAATATTTACTTATTCAAAACCAAATGTTTAGGTCTGTTGATTATCGATGGCAAAGAGGTGGAAATGCGTCAAATACATGTACTGTACTTTCTTTGTTAGGAAGTTCATGTGAATTTTTAGGAGTATTAAGTAAAGAAGAGCATAGTCAGTTTTTAAAAGATGACATGAAAAAATATAATATTGATTTTTCTAAATGCCAAGAGGTTGACGGTTATAGATGTCCTATATCAACAATAATATTAAGCTTAAGTACTGGAACTCGTACAATTTTACATTATAATCCTAATTTACCAGAAATAACATTAGAAAACTTTGGATGTTTGAAATTAAAGAACTACAGTTGGATACATTTTGAAGTAGGAATATAACATTAGATTTGATATTTTTAAATGAATAATAATTTTTTGAATTATTATTTTATGTGTTTAGGGCAGGAATGTAACACAAGTTTTAGCTATGATGGAAACTATAGAAAAATATAATAAAATTATGAAAGGCATGAACGAAAAATCTAATAAAATAGTAAATAAACAATTTATGGAAATTACTGTTAGTTTAGAGCTAGAAAAACCTCAACCTGAGTTATTATTATTATTACCATTTGCTGATATAGTATTTATATCGAAAGATTTTGCACAAAGAAGAGGATGCGATAATATGGATGAAATATTAGAAAATATCGGTGCAAAAGCTAAACAAGGGTAAACAAAAATAAAAATAGAGATTTAGAATTATATGAAATAAAGTATATATATAAACTCATTTTTTTGTACTATAATTTTTTTTTAGGACAGTTCTTATTTGTGCTTGGGGTGATAGAGGTGCAACGGCACGTACCTCGGATGGAATTTTAGTCAAATCTTCAGCTTTTCCGCCTGAAGTAATAGTAGACAGTCTTGGTGCTGGAGATACATTTAATGCAGCAGTTATAGATTATTTAAACAATATAAAAATGGATGCTGAAAGTGAAGAATATAATTCTTTGAATAATCCCACTACAATTTCGGAACATAGCCTCAACAAATTTAATGATCCAAATATTCTACACGCAGCAATAATTTTTGGTTGTCATATAGCTGGTGCCAAAATAGGAATGAAAGGTTACGACGGTCTTGTAAACTACAAATAAATTTGGTAAAAGTTACAAAAAAAAAAAAAAGAAAATGCACCGACTTATTGGCCAACCTATTTGTGGTACAATATTTTAATAAAATAAATTTAAGATATGAATGACGCGTAATTAAGCATTTTTATAATTAATATTTCATATTAATAATAATATGTAATACAGAGTTCTGTGATATTAGATCTGAGAGAGAATAGAAACATCAAAGAACTAAAATATATTATAACGTTCTCTCAAATACCATCATATTGATATAAAATGTTTTATTAAAACTGTTATTATAGTAATAAGTATTGTTATTAAAATATAATATGATAAAATATGAAGATTTTATTTGTAAATAATTTTATAATAATATAAATATATAATTTTTTTTATAATGGTATAAATATACGTGGTGTATAAAAATTATGTATCGTTGCAATAAAATGATGATTTTGTTTAAATTAATAAAATTACTGAGAGAGATAAAATACTAATATATAATTGTTACATAAATTATATATAAAATGTGTTAATTAGTATCCTGAAAATAATAAACAAAAAACCTGATATATCATTGTTTATTATTAATTGCTAATCTATGATTGAAAATAAATAAATAAATATATGTACATATATATATGAATCAAATAAAAATTGATTAAAAGCTTACATTTATCAGCAATCATTTGTCATATCTTGACAAGTTCTTGCTTCACTGTGTTTATCTGCCAATGCTTCTATTATATCCAGCAATAATTCTTTACTTAGTTGCTTCAATCTTGGTAGTCTTGCAACCTTATAATATAAATAATATTCTAGGTAATATAATTCATGTAATAATAATATTAACTTAAAAAACAAAATGTATGTGTTATAAAATTATACCTTACTGTAATGATGCACTATAAGATTTAATGCATATTTTTTTATGTCACTAGCCTGCATTCTATCTGCGGCTTCTAAAATTTGTATAACATTTTCAAAAGTAACATTCATTTCTAAATTTTGTTTACAAAATGCTTGTAAACGATTATTTGTAAAACCGTAAAAAACTGGAGCAGTAAATAAATACAATGAATCTTCAGGAGGCATTGAAACATCCGCGTAGTATATATATCTCAATAAAGAAGCAAATGATTCTGCTGATGGAATCATCTCGCCAATTTGTATCTGTAATAAATGATTAATATCAAGAATTTATTATTTTATTATGAATTTAATAAAAAAAATTTGTTACCCACATTAACAATATTATTTTCAGGCATGAAAGAACGAAACATGCCTTCAAAATAAGTGCATCGTGCTGCGAGAACAGCTTTATGGGCTGGTATGGGTACACCATCCAACATCAAAATAATATCACAAAATTCTTTACCAATACTTATTAAAAATGCCTCCATATCTTGTTCTAAGGTTGTTCCTGGTATAAAATTCAATTGTTATTGAAAAATATTTACAATTAATTAAAGAAAAAAAAAAAAGAAAAAACATACCTGTTTCAGATTCATATTGTTTGGAAAAGTTTCTCACTTGTGGAACTTGTCGTTTTCGAATAATTTCAACCATTAATGGTTGATCCAATGTCTCAAATTCTTGACTCATAACGATTTGATTGTAATTACTTTCTTTAACAATAAAACTAAGACAAAATTCTTTAATGAAATATAATTTCAAATGTGCAGCATTGTGTAATGCTTCCAAAACATTAACATGACTTATAGTTGCTTCTAAATAATGCACACATAATTGTTCTAAACGTTTCATATTAAATTGAACTGCAAGACGATAAACATCCATCATAAGAAGAACGATGCCATTGCCTAAAGGATCATCAATTCGACTATTTGATGTATCCTCGAATCTTTTCGTAGGATCGATACGATCCGTGTAGATATAATTTAATACCATTTCAAAAGCTTCTGGAACAGCATCTTTTAATTTGACTTTTAATAATGGTAAATCTTGAACCGATACATCCGTACCTAAAACTTCTTCGTAATGTTTTTTTCTTTTTTCATGTGCTTGTCTGATGCGTGCTCTTAAAAATTGAGAACGAGCTGCAACCATAGCTATGTGTGCAGGTATTTTTGTTTCATTTTCACCTACTACAAATTCTACATCACAGAATAAACGAGAATTTAACAGTTTTCCAAAATCATCATGAAGGGTGCACTTAGGGTACGAAGAAAATTGAAATCTGTATGTTTCTCCTGAACGTACATTGTTATCAACTGTACCACCAAATATAAACATGGCTTCTCCAATTACTGCTGCAGCATGAAAAAGGCGACCAGATGGTATCTGTAATAGTAATAATAATTGTAAATATAAAACAAAGTTTTATACAATAATTTTGAAACAAACCTGACTGTCAGTAGATGGTAATACTACATTCCAAGTCTGTGTGTCCAAATCGTAACAGTGAAGATCATTTGGTAAAGTTGAATCAGCTGCTCCACCAAAAACATAGAGATGTCTGTCAAAGCTTACCATTGTGTGACCATATCTACGTGGAGGTGGTGGAGGTGCACCACGAAGTATATGCTCTGTTGATATACGAGTCCAACTAATACAAATCGAATAATCAAATACTTAAAAATTAGATTTTGTAATATGTTAATGTTAACAAAATTGTAAAGATACATTTACCGTCTATCTCTGAATTGAAATTGAAAAAGACTATTGGTTATTTTAGCTCCACTCTGTCCACTAAATACAAACATCGATTCACGAGCTACAGCAACAGGAAAATTGCAACAAGTTGGAGGACAATCTCCGGATTGAGCTACTTTTTCCCAAATACGTGTATCACCAGGCTGAAAAAAAACACATCTTTAAAGCTAATTGAACTAATAAATATATTCCAATTAAAAATCTTACCAATAAGGATATTGTCCACATATCATTAAGTCTTGCATTTCCATCATATCCAGCAAAAATCCACAGTTTATTGTCATATACAGCAGCACCATGCGCAGATCTTGCAACAGGTGTTCTATGCGATGGAAAATGTTTTGATCAAATTTAAAAATGATGCTATTATAAATGCAATTATTGATTAATATTATACATACACTCCAATAAATTTCCATTCTGTCCACTGGCCAGTTAAAAAACGATATTCAAAAAGATCATTTTTATTAGTAAGATTTGAATTTGAATGTATATCACCGGTATAACCACCAAATACAAACATCGAAGTGTCATGAACTACTGCTGAATGATGATACCGTGGTGCTGGTGGAGTTCCTGTAGCAAATGCACGACCCCATGATTTTTCTTTTACATCAAAACGTAACAGATCATTTAACATTCTTGAACCATTATCGCCGCCAAAGACATAAATGGCATCTTTGTATGCCACAACTGTGTGTTTACTACGCCTGTCAAATAAATTGTTTTTTTTTTTGTAATAGTATTTTAATGAAAAGAATTAATGATTAAAACTGTATTTACCTTGCGCCAACAAATTCATCACATTCAGGCATACGTTGCCAACGATGTACAGTTTCAAAAGGTCCAAAATCAAGTGTCAAACATTCTGCAGTTGTCACATTATCCATTCTAATATTTTCAAAATGTTAAACTTATGAAATCAACACCATACTTAACCTATAAAATTCTTTAAGTGTATGATCACTTTGTCATTTTTTATTTATATTAAACACTTCATTCATATATATATATATTCAGTATTTTTTACTTAAAAGATATATTTTTTCAAAGTATAATATAACTTTATGTCTACATATTTTAACTCTTGTATTGAATTGTCAATAACGCGGAAGGCGCCATGACATAATCGCACTGACACTGTTGCGATATATCGCAAAAATCAATAATTTTAAATCCCACGTAAAAAATATATATAATACTGAATACAAATAATTAATTACAATATAAGTAAGAATATTTTATCTACAATATATATTATAATATTATAATTATATATAGTATCATAATAATATAATATTTTTGTTTGCATAAGAATATGCAAACAAAACAAAAAATTAATAAATTTAACTTAGTTCTTAATTTGGAAAATATTTTATATTTTATCCAAATACATATAATACCTTAATATAATAAATAATACTTATATCAAATCTTTGTTAAATGTACATAAATATATACATAAAAATTCTCGTTTGACAATTATTTATTTCATGTCAACGTGTGTATTGGATATATCATAGACATGTCTTTTTTTTCTAAAATCCATTGTTTAAAAAGTTTTTCGACATCTTCAGATTGTATCTGTAAGTTCACATAATTATGAATAATTCATTATCTGAATAAATAAAATATAATAATGATATACAATTAAAAAATTACTTTATCAATGGTGAGGTCAGTGACATTCAATCCTTTTAAAATTTGAGAAATATCTAGTAACCATAGTTGTGCACTATTTTTAATGATCCATAAATTTATATTAATTGATCCTACTACGTAATGGAAGTTATTATAATCACATCTAAAAAATAAAAATATTTCAATATTTTTTTGAAGATAAAGGTACCTATTTTGTAATAAATTTGTCTATATAATATGAAAATGTTACTCTCAATTTAATAATTATAATTTACCTTTTTTCAAAACTTTTTTTGACATTATCTATATTTATATTCCAAGGTACTGTAGTTCTCATTGCAAGATTTTCGGATTTTTGTGAATTTGAATTTTTCATATTTTCAAGCATACGTAAAAGTCGTTTTTTATTTTTCTTACATTCTTCATCAAATTTCTTTTTAAGTTCATCTTTTCTGGCCTTTTCTTTATTTAATCTTTCTTCACGAGCAAGGTCTTGATAATAACCATGTTCTTGGGATGGTAAGTGTTTCCAAATATCTGTTATTTTACGAGCAACTTCTACCGTTGTTAGTTTAGGATTTTCTTTCATTACTACAAACAAGTAACAATAATTATAATTATTTATATAATGTATAAATTACAAATACAATTTATATTAATGATACAAAAAGGAAAAGAAAAATGTGTAATATATTTACTTTCTGATCTGATATCTTTCGCAAATTTTGTAAATGTTGTCTCCATAGTAGAAGAATCATTACTTAATGGTACATAGTTTGTACAATCGTTTAATGGTTTTACATCTGTACCACCCTATTAACGAAAAAAAAATATACTTATTATAAAATAATATAAATGCTTATTTTACGTTGTATTAAAAACAAGAAAAAGTGATTAAGAAACATACCTTTAAACCTTCTACATGTCCTTTACTCCACATTTTTAATGAATGCTCCTTCTCTTTTATATTATTTTTTTCATCATGCACTTTATCTATATGCGGATTTATGCTATTTTCTCCATTTAATATAAGATCAATATCAAAATCTTCACCAAGGTCTACTATAGGCAATTGACTAATATTTTCATTTATAATATCAACTTGATTATCTGATGCATTTATAGTTTCTTGATTATTAACTTTTTCATCAGTTGTATTTAAATCATGGAGTAATGAATCATTTGTATATTCTAGATTGTTACTGAAATTAAAAGTAATATTTACATTTTATTCTAAAGTACATATCTTTTTAAAAGTTATTTTTAATGTTCTATTAATACTAACGCATTATTATGTTTAAGGTTGTTATGATCTGTACTGTTACGTATACTTGAGTTATTTGAATTTGTAGTAGTGTCTAAATAATTTGCAATAGCTTTTAATTCATCCTCAGAAATATTACATCGATCATCTGTATTTGTTAAATTATTTGTAATATCTTTAGAATTGGAATTGTCTTGAATAATTTCCGAGTTCAATAATTCAGTCGTATTATTATTATTATTATTTTTAATTGATTCTCCGTTTGTATATTTATTTATTTCTTTTTCATCCGTATTAGATGAAATTTTGCGTTTTTTACATACTGGCAATTCTATTTCTGAATTATTTGTATTATTTATCGATGTATCTTGATCATAATTACTTGTTTCAGTAGGATTTTTTCTTTTCAGTTCTTCACATTGTATACCATAAAAATTTGTTATCAGCTTGCTTATAATATCAAGAATTATTTGCTAAAAGATATATTTTATTTTTAATATATTTTTTTTTTGTCTATGTAATTTGTAAATTGAATAATATATTATACCTGATTTTTTAAAAGTACTGCATCTTTATTAGGTTCTAAATTAACATCAACATCTATTGGATCTATCAAAATATGCACAAGAAATATTAGTTTCTTTTTTACTGATAGTTTGTTGCTAAAATATTCTGAGATCGTATCATTCATTATCTAATAACAAAAATGAAATATAACATTTTGTTAAATGCTTTCTCTCTTTTTTTTTTTTTTAATACAATACAACAATGAAAAATATTCAATATAAAATGTCTATGAAAGTTTAATTAATGTTTATAAAATTAAAATCAAACCTTTTCAATATCTTTGTATTTAATAGGACGATTATTGATAAAGATGTAACGATGTGTAGTTTCACAAATATCATTTATATCCTCTAGTTCTTTATCAGGAACCATTAATTGTATTGTAGCCTGAGTAAAAGTAAATAAAAGTTTTTATTAAATATTATGTATAATATTTCAAATGATTGACTATGTTATACATTTTCTTTTTAGTTTTTTTAATATAAAATAATATTATATTATATATACCTCAGTATCTTCATGAGTAATCCATTTCATTTTAGGCATGATTTGCCTCCCAAGTACATATTTTGTTGCTTCTTTGATATTATCTAAGTTTGGTTTCATAAATAAAATATTATTGTTTACTCTGTAACTAATTCTTACCGTAAAATTACATATTCCAAAACTTTTAAGCATTGTTTCTATTAATTTAATATTTTGATTTGCTTTTTTTTTGTCAGTAATTAATTTTCTTCTAACAGGTAATTGTTTAAACATTTGTTTAACTTGAACCGTGGTACCTAATGCAAAAACATCAAATTATATAAAGTAAGTATAATGGAGATTTAATTGTATATATTATTATTATTAAATCTTGTATACCTTTAGGTCTTGGATATAATTCCGTTGTCATAATATTTCCATCGTTATCCATATTATACAACCTACCTACTTCATCATTTTCTGTTTTAGTCATAATTACAACATCGCTCATTTTACATATTGCGTTTAATGCTTCACCTCGAAATCCATAAGTTTTTAACATACCTGTATAAATAAGATAATAAAGAGATAATGTTATTATTAATAATGTAAATTATATAAAATTACAATTAAGTTTTAATATATAGTAAGTTTTACCCAAATCTTCAAAACATGATATCTTTGAAGTACAGGATGGTAAAGCCATGGATGAAGCATTTGTATTTGAAATACCATCACCATCATCTTTAACTTCTATCATTGATGTACCATTATCAATCTAATAACAATTACGAATATTATAAAATACAATTGAAATAAATATATTAAAATAATTTGTTTGGATGTATTTACTCAAAATTTGTCAACCCAACCTTGTATTAATGAAAAATAACAAAAAGTGTATAAGTGTATAAGTGAATTTTAAATACTTACGAGATTAATTTCAACATTTTTTGCATTTGCATCAAACGCATTTTCAACTAATTCTTTAACAACGCTATATACAGATGTTATAATCTGTGTAGTGGTTACAAGTCTTACTGTATTTTCATCCAAACTTGTAATTGACATTTTTGTGACCAATTTATTTTCCCGCTTTACTAATTTCAAATGTTGTCATGGAATCACATGGAATAGAAACAAACACGAAAGAATATATCCAAAATAAAAGTTAATTATATCAATATATTTGGATATTTTTTAAAAAAGTATATAATATAAATAATAAAACAATTATATTAAAATAATTCTTTAATATTAATGTGTAACAATATTTATTTTTGTTGAGTTAAAAATTTTAATAATAAATAAAACTTTTTTCTTCATCGTTTAACCTATTTCTTTACAAAAGTTGACAACTATGATGGTAATTAAATATTTGGGGATTTTTATAACGTTAAGTATGGTAATGATGAGATTTCAAATATTTTGGCGGGAGAGTAGACTGGTCATTTAATTTGGAATATTTTTGAGAATGAAAAAAAAATAAATATTCATATGTAATATATAAATGCTTACAGAAGTATTACTTCTATAAATTAAATACTTTTGTAAATAAAAAGAAATTATACAGATAATTTTCAGATATAAAAAATTCACGAGAAAATATCTATAAATGATTAAAATCGTTATATCTTATTTCAAAGTGAAGTTTTAACTTTGTGAAGAATTAAAGGTTCAAAAGGTCGAAGTTTTTATCGTTGCTATAGACGAGGGTTCGTGAACCCTACGTATGGTAATATCGATTTTATTATTTTTAGAAACCACTTGGAAATGGTCAATTGAATAGTTATCTCATTCTTTTTTTTTTCTTTTTTCTTATTTCCTCCGGTAATAATTTATCTTGTTGTTACATTTTTTTTTTTAATACGATATATATATGAAAATACTTTTACAGAAATTGTATTTTAATATATTTAGAAAAATTTTGCTTTGGATTGTTAATTTGGAGAAGAAATTCTATAAAAATATTATAAGAAAAAAGAAAATAAATCAGTAGATTTAAAAGTATGCAAAAATAGAATCAAGTATAAAATAAATCAATAATTTTTTATTTGACTCAAAAATCAAAATGGCAGTAAATCCAATGCATTGGTTACACTTGTGCGAGTTTTACAATGTGCATAACATCCGTGTATATATATATATATATATATATATATATGTATATCGAGTGTTATCGACCTTTTTATAAATAAATTATATTATACTTATGAACCATCATAACTCATACGATAACGTCACAAATTCTTTGTTATTCGAGTACAATCAATTGAAAATTAATTACATTAGGAATCTCATTTAAATAGATAAATAATTTGAAATTCAAAAATATTTGACAGTTTCTATAATTAAATAAATAAATAAATAAAAAAAAGTTAATTCAATAATGTAAGTTGTTGTTTTTTTTTCTACATACATAATTGACAATTTCTATAATTAAATTATTAAATAAACAAAAACGTTTATCCAATGTTATAAGTTTATTTTTTGTTTTATATACGTAATTGACAGTTTCTACAATAAAAATAAAAAAAAATAAAAAATAGTTATATCAATGATGTAATTTGATTTTTTTTCTATATCAGTAATTGACAGTTTTTCTAATTAAATAAATAAATAAAAAAAAGATAATTCAACGATATTCGTTCATTTTTTTGTTCTACGTATTATTAAATGGCGCGCTTTTATTCAAAAAAAAAAATCGAATAATTATATTTTTTTATTATAAATAAAAGTATAAAAATAATGTTTAAATGATTTTTCTCTTTCTTCTTCATATACCCTCCAATCACTATGATTTATAGTTCATTTTCACGTAGTATGTATATGTAGTCATGTATATTGTAAGTATAAATACATCCTGTCTTGAATCAGTTTGATTCTACTCGTTCACTAGTTCAATTGTCGGATATATTCAAAAAGGATCAACAAAAACCGGATTTGTGTTGTTGGTATGTCATGCAAGTTTTTATTTTTTATAATTAAAATAATTATTATATATAGTTCTCATTAATTTTTCAGTATTTTCATTCTTATTTTTTTGTCTACTATATATTATTTAACTATGCTGATTGTTACTGTTCAAGATTTATGTTAATTGGTATTATTTAATAATTATGTTGATTTATGTTAATATATATATATATATATATCAAATTTATTAAATATTTCTAATATTATATTATATATTTTTCTTCATATTAATTTATTTACAATTTGTTTAAGATAATAATTTTATTTATTTGATTAATTTTAATTATTTATAAATTGAAAATGATAAAGTTAAAACTCGAAGTTTCATATTTGTTAATTTATGTAAATGATGTATATATATATATATTATCCTTATTGACGTCATTCTTACGAAGAATTTAAAAACATAACCTATACTAATATTTAATTAGTTTATGTAATAATCTAGTTTAGAATATAATTTTACAACACGTCTCATAATTTAAATATCGTTTGATAAATGACGCATTAAGTTTTTAAAAATTTTATAGCATGTTTTATAAATTATATTTTTAATTAATTTAATAAGCATTTATTTTTCATCGTAAAATATAAAATTAAATTAATTTGTTAATATATAAATAAAAAATAAAATTTCTAATCGATTAATATCAATTTATAAAATGGACTTTGGCCGTTAATAAGGTGGAGAATAAAAAATCTTTGAATACTGAATAATATATGAATTAATAATTAGTCAAATGAAGAATTGTGATAAAAAATATATTACCCCCCATTACTTTCTAAAACAAGTAATTAAATTTTGAAATGTGTAAATATATAAAAAAAAAGAAATTATATATGTAAATAAAATATGAATTTACAAAAGACGAGTAGTTAAAATATCAATCTGAAATTTGATTGATAGGTTAGTTCCGATAGATTAACGAGAAAATGTTTTTTAAATTACAAAAAAAAAAATTGATATGACAAGACAAGATAATTGAATTGAATTATGCAATTTAATTCTGACCTATATATTAAATTATTTTATTGAGAATAAAAAAAGAATATTCTTGACAAATGAATAAAACAATAATCTTTAATTAAAACATATACAAATACAAAACAATGATGAAAAATAATTGTACCCATAATTATGAAAGTGATCTAAGTCATGTATCTCTTGTTTCGAGATATTTACAAGTTTAAAAGTTGGATGCTAAATTTATATAATATTGAAAAAACAAACATTATCTAACGACTTATTTTTGACAATATCGTGAAAATTACATTGAATTTATTTAGTTTAAAATAATGTTGTGCGTAATAACTCATTTTTTTTTTAATTTTGACTTAGATCACTTTCATAATTATGGGCATAATTATTATTTTGAATAAAAATATCTCGTGTTAATCCTATCGAGAGATAATTTATATTTTTAAACCACGAATTGTCTTTTATTATGCATGAATCATGATAAAAATTTGTTTGAAGTTGATCGTTGATATAAAACATTTAAATTTGAATTGGTATTTTGAAAAATTGTTTATTTTTTCAGTCACGAAGGATGAAACGTGTTATTTATAAGGTTAGAAAAGATAAGTGAATAATGATAAAATTATATTTTTAAATAAAAAGAAAAAAAGAAATTAAAAAATTATTATTAAAAGTATAAAAAAAAATAAGAAATAATATTTTTAAGTAAAAATACAAATAAAAATAAGAAAACTAAATAAACAAAGAAAGGAATAAGAAAAAAAGAAACAAACCACTTTCTTTCGATTAAAATGAATGATCGGGAGTCAACAATAATTGCAGTAAAGGCGTGAGTAAGTTCCGAAATGCAAGTTACGCGAGTTGAATAAATGAAACGAGATGTTGCATCCCGTATGCAATTGAAGAAATGAACATTTTACAATGGTCATAAGTAAGAGAGGATTATATTCTTGCATTTAATCGCATGTTTCGAACGAAAGTGATTGTATAATCTCAATAACACATATAACATAATACCTTATACATGTGTACGTGTTGGATTGTATAATTTTTTTTGTCACGCATCCTAAAGAAGGATTTATTGTACTTATATGTATTGTGCATCATAAGCATCTATGTGTAATATGTATGGCTGTGTGTGTGTGTGTGTGTGTGTGTATGTGTCGTGTAAATATCCATGCAACTAAAATGTTTTTATTTTTTTTCTTAAGAAACGTAAAATACCTAATAGATTATTTATTCTAAACAATATTTTTCTTTTGTTATGACAACGATCGTTTTAATTTAATTTTATTTTTTTTGTTATTATTTTTTATTTCTTATGTTAACCCTATATATAAATTCAATCGTAAATTTTAATTATTTTTACTTTGGTCGTTAAATATATTAAAATATATAAATATGTTTAATTATATATTTGAAATATTGTAATGAGATATATTTACAGATATAATATCTTGTTTATTTTTATTTCTGTAAAATGTGATTAAAAGTATTAAATTTTTTATTATAATTTTTCATCTTTTTTTGTATTCTTTTACTATATAGATAGATAGATAGATACTTTTTACTAATTCCCCGAAGGGTTACACTCCTTTTACAATTATATCCTTAATCTATCTTAACACTACTCTCTCCTTCGCTTCTCCTTTTCTCCTTTCCCCCTCCCCTCGTCTCACAACCCCGCTTCAGCCTCCATCACTCCCAACCTTGTCCCTCCTTCCCCTCTCTTATACTCTCAACCCTCTTCATCCATTCTTTCCTTATTCCACTCTCATCCAAAATCTCTTTTATCTTTTCTTCTATTCCTCTCCCGTTCTCCTCACCTATCGTTCTGATGCAACCTTCCAACAAATGCTCCCACGTCTCTCTCTTCCACCCGCACACTCTGCATCGTCTCCTCTCCTCCTCCTCCTTCTCTCAGTATCTCCCTTCCCTCATCTCATTCCCTAATCTGAATCTCGCCACTCTTCTCTTCCTCACTTCACTCCACTTGCTTTTCAAATATTTCGGTAACCCTTACGCTATCACTAGCCTGTGCCATTTATTATATCTGGAGCTTTGTATCTTCTCCCACCTTTCATCCTCTTGCCGCCTTCTTTCCTTCTTCTCAATCTCTTCCCAACTCTCAACAACCTCCTCTCTGTTCTGCACTCTTTTACTATATATATATATTACCAAAAATAAAATAAATATATATGTATAGATTTGATTTTTAGATGGCAGCTGATATTTGCACATAGTTTAAAATACTTTATGGATAAGATAATAAAAAAAAACTTATTTCTATTACCATAATATCGGAGGATATTATAAAAAAGTTTTCTTTCAAGATTTATATTTATTTAAAATGTCTACGAAATTTTTTGCTTATAAAGGAAAAGATTGTCGAAGTAAAAAAATAAAACTACACAATATCAACTTCAAATTTACATATGCACATACAATATTATCTAAGATCAGAATACCAATTGGAAAAAAAAATATCTTCTCATAAATGCGTGTCTTGACCTGTTTTTTAAATGTAAATAATTTTTCTCTTTTTTTTTTTATTTATTCCGACTAATATTTAGTAAATTTAAATGTAAGTCATCGTTACGTCATTGTCTCTGTCTTGCGTGTAATCCAAATTTACTCATTGCGTTTGTAAATGCATTAATGGCGTTACGCAAACCTCGAAATTTAATAACTCAAGGTCAATTTAATAAGAGGATATATTTCTTACTTTTTTTTGTATTTTTATAAAAATACAAATTTTATTATTCGAAAAAATGATTCATAATTTATTACGAGATTAACATAGTCGCGTTTATTTCAGCAAACTTTTTAAAATGACCTAAAGTTTCGTTTTTTTTTCTCCTATTAGTTTAATATTCAAATTATCGTGATTTAAATTATTATTATTATTATTATTATTATTATTATTATTATTATTATTATTATTATTATTATTATTCAAAACAATCTCTATATTTCGTTTTCTTTTTCTTTTGCAATGATACAAGAAGATTCATACATGGAATTGATAACAACGAGCATGTATTATCTAACATAAATCACATGTCATGCACGTGTTATGGGTGTATGGGTTATATACTCGACACGATAGTAAAGGGATACGAATGATATACACGTATATATATATATATATATATATATATAATATAACAATTTATATTATTATATTATATAATTAACATATATAATGAATAATCATATCTATAGGATAAAATAAGATTAAAAAATAATAATAAATTTTCTATTTCTTACACGATAAAATAAAATAAAATAAAATATTATAATAATAAAAAAATTAGAAGTGAAATCTTCAAAAATCTAAGTTTCGAGAGAATGACACGAATGCACAGTTTCAAGAGTAAGATAATTGTAGGATTTATTTATTTTAATATTATTACCATATATAATAAAAGTCACCGGTATGGTCTCTGAGTGGAATAGCTGATAAAAAGTACACTTTTCCAAATTCAAGCAATAAAAATAGAATGCTGAATGCGATATTTATAAATAGACATCAAAATGGTAGGATGTTTATCAAAGGAAATATAATTCGTCAGAAATTAGGTAAATATAAATAATCCTTTTTTTGAAACTCAGGTATAAGATTTTGTTTGTTAGTATGGTTTTCAATTTCTCGTTTTCATCTACGTACTTGCGCTGCTAACAAACATTTTAGGATAGACGAAATAAAGACGTTACGAAAAACGTATGGAAAATACTGCTGGACTGAACGAAGGTTCTGGTAAAATACATCTCGTTATAAAATATATCTCGTCTTTATTCTTTGGACCACAAACTTATTTTTCGAAATACTCTCGTCTAAATAAAGATCTGAACAACGAAAAATCTAAAAAATGCATTGAATCGTATCGCTCTCTCAGCTTATCGAACTGTGTACACTACGAGTCTCAAATTTTAGCTCCGTGGTAAGCTCCATCGATTCACGCTGGGCGTTCAACATCTTAAAAATGTTTTTTTTTTTTTGAAACTCAGGTAGATGAATAGTTTCTTTCACACTTTTCACCCTTCCTTTGAATTTGAGATATCTTTATCATGGGTTAGCATACACAAGTATTTCCTTTTGTGTTGCAACTAATACCTGTAGATGCTGTTAAAGAAGGGAACAATTGTGGTCGTATTTTTTTCATTTCATCGGATTTTGAATTACAACGATTTTAAAATCTGTTTTTCATTTTCGTTGTCTTATTTTATCATATTAAAAATTTAAAAAAAAATTTATTTTCTACATTTTTTTTCTATATTTGTAAAATAAGTTATATTATTGTATTTTTATTAGAAATATAATAGCAAATAATATTTGTTTGTGTCACGTGTCCAGTTTCTTTAATTTAAAAGCTTTTCTATTTTATTGAAAAATTACTATAAATTTCCTAAATACGCAAACATTATAATTAAAAAACATGTCTTTGGATATTTATAAGAAAAATATTCTACAGTGTTGTCTAATTCTTTTTTTCTGATGTATCTTGTAATCATTGTTTTTTTTTTGTAAAATATTGCAGACAATACAATTATTATATTCTATACATTTCATAATTATTAAAGATAATATTTGCGAAATAAAGAATTTAATAATAATTTTTCAATAAAATAGAAACATTTTTAAATAGAAAAGAAAGCAGTCGTACACAACACACACATATACAACCAGGAGCGATAACTACAAAGCATAGCATAAAGAGGAGACCGAGAGTAAGAAAATTACTGTATAGCTATATAATGTCTCATTCTCTTGCAGGCTCAATCCTTTCAAATCACTCATATTCTAAAGAAGTTTTTACTTCAAAAACATCTTACATTAGACCAAACGAAGAGTTAAATTCACCTATACTATGATACATTAAACTTTTTAAATGTATATACATATACTATATATATTTCTACTTGCTACATTATACGACTGTATAAAGCAGAAAAAGAGAAAAAGTGAAATAAGAGGGGGTTGAGAGGGGGAAAAGAACGAGAATGAAAAAGACAGATAGAGAGAGAGAGAGAGAGAGAGAGAGAGAAAGAAATATTCTTGACAAAAGCCTTAAAATATAAGATCGTAGCTTTCATAGTGATCGAAGAAGCAGTATAGCCAGACGTAGTCGGTTTTAGTTGCAGTTTGAACGTGAACGGCATCGGTTTAACGATTTCTCGAAACTTTTCCGCGTACTGTTTTCTCTTCCCCTCTCCCCTTCCCGATCCCAACGAGATTTATTGATCAACAAACGAATACGTTAGTTCCTGGAACGTTTTTGAAAATTTCAAATAATTAGGTAAGTTCGAAATAGAATTTTTGTGGTTATCTTCTTTTTTATTTTTGTGTGGGGGAGGATAGTTTTCTTATCCGTTCGGATTTATTTTATAAATTTGCATTTCTTTTCTTTTTTTTATTGTGTTATTTTATTTCTTTGTGAGAAATTTCATCGAATGTATTCAACACACGTATAAAAACGTGCGAACGCGTACTAAATGTAAACAAAAAGAAAAATTTATTAATGAATTGTCAATTTTATATTTTAAACAATGACGTTATAAAATAAAAAATAAACATTAATATTAATTTATTATAATAACGTAATTAAACAATTCTGTTAAAAAATAAAATAAATGTTAATAAAACAACCCGTCAATGACCTTTTTTGGGTGACACATTTTTAAAAATTATTTTTTTTAATAACTGCAACTTCACAATGTTAATCAAATTAAAATCATAAGATCCGTACTGCCTGTGTCATGAAAATATTTAATATTCTCTCACAATTTTTTATTTTAAATCAATAATTAATGATAGAAAATAATTTTATTACATTTAAATAAAAAAAAAACGAATTTTGTTTTTTCAGCTGTTAATACTTTGAGAAAAATAAAAGTAAGAAACAAAATCGTGTTTGTCAATTTTTATTACACACCTATGATTTGTACTTTTTAATTAAAATGTCAAATAATAATACGATTGCATTGTCACACCTATTATTTGTAATAATAATAGTATAATTAATACTTTAATTAACGAGATGCTACCTGTTAACTTAATTGGATGTAAATTACGTTAAATTATAGATTAATGAATCAAGGACACTTTGTTGAAGTACGCAATTCACATATACATATATATATATATATATATATATGTGATATTACTTACAATTAATTTTTTTATTATGTTTTGTATTAACATTTATCGTCATCTTGTAACTAATCATTATTACTGTTCACTTATGCAAAAGAAAAATATGTTAAAATATGTATTATTAATTTGAATGTCCTATGTAAATGTTTTTTTTTATTCAAAACAAGGTCAATTATTGAAAATTTCCATTGGATTAATAATTGAATTAATTAAAATATAAAAAACTATTATATAATATTTTTTTTTACGAATATACCTGATATGATTATGAAATAAATTCTTGTATTGTTTCTGAATTTTTTCTACCTGCAATTATTTATTTATAATAAAAAAAAGAATATAAATGTTTTAAGGAAAGATGCTGATTAATTATGTTGAGATATGATTATTGTAGAAACTAAAATAACTTCAATATTTTTCTTTCAAATTTGTAACAATTAAAAACTTATATAATGTTTAAAACAAATTGAAATGTTATAATGAATAATTAAATAAATATTAGAATGTACAAATTTTGTGTATTTTTGTTTGTTTTTCTTCTTCTCTTATTTCTTATCATTGATTTATCGATTGCAAAAAAGTTGACGTATTAGAAAATCGAATTGTTCGTTTTACAATATGTTGTGTACATACAAAATGAGATATTTAGCAAAAACAAATACACGTAATAAGTATTTCGCAAAAAGTGAAATTGAAAGTACCACTTCAGTGGTGTAACTTTTATTCTAATTTAATATTTATATAATTCTCTTAACATTCTCCTTTGTTTTTTTTTGCCATTTTATTCACGTTTATGATAAAAAACAAACAATATTAAAAGGTTGATTTAATTGATTCATGACATGAAAAAATTGAGATATATCTCAACGATTTTATAATTTTGATGAATATTTCTTGAAAAAAATCGGGAAAATAAATAATAATTACAATATTTTTTCGTGTCTTGTCTTGAAGGTTACAAGGTAAAAAATGTTGTTTTTATCGCATTTTTATTCAATGCATATTTTAAGATCACGTTTTTATGTGTCGTGGGTTCATTAATGATCTTATATATATTCTTTAAAATTCATTTTATTCTTGGAAAAGAAAAATTTGAATTTATGAATATTATAAATAATTGAAAAAAAAAACACTAATTATTTATTTACTTCGTTTTTCTCTTTGATTTTATTTCATTAGATTGCTAATTGAACTAATAAATCTAATACCAAACTTACGAATACAAAAAAAAATAATGAATATAAAAAATGATCTAAGATGAGATATCTACTAATGTTTAAGATCAACATTAGTATTTAACAATAATCAAGAATTGTAAAAAATCGTAAATAAAAATCAAATAAAATTTATCGCCAGGTGAATTAACACTTATCAAAGATTAATTATTTAAACAAAGAATTGAGATTAAAAATAATTTTGCCAAAATATAAGATTTTGGAGGGATCTTTGATTTTTGTTTCTTATTTTTTTTTTTTTTTTCACTAATTTGCATTTCGTTTTGATATGTTTATTATATAATATAATTAACACGTTAAGCGCCACGGCGGTCCCTAGAAATCGGCGTTAGACTTTCCGTTCAGACTACGCCATTGGCTACAAAAGGTTGTTACTTTTTGCGCTACATTTTTAGTTGTTTTTGGTCCTAATATTCGTACATATTGATTATAGCACTCGGTCCAGTATCTTCTAGTTTTGTGAGCTCTGCTTTTTTTTCTATCCTTTCGGCGAGCGGCCCAGCAGAACCCGCTTGAATGGCAAGGCATAGAAATTCGGGGTGGCGCTTAACGTGTTAATAATATTTTAATATAATATACATTATAATATATAATATAATATTTATATATTATTATTATTATTATTATTAATTGGAATTAGGAATTCGAAAGTTCAATGCCGCAAATAAATCAATTTTCAAATCCCCCCATTGTTCCCGTCCTTGAACGCGATCCCTTTCATTTGCTGTCTTCATATCCTATTTCTTTCAGATCCCTTCTAAAATTGTCCTTTCATCTACGTTTCGGTCTCTACCTTGTAGATAATATAATATTTATATAATATAATTAATAATATTTTAATAATTTAGTATTTTAATAAATATTAAAAATATTTTATAGTACTTATTATATAAAATATTATTATTAAATATTTATTATTGTAAAATATTAATAATATTTTGCAATAATAAATAATAAATAATATAATAAAATAAAATAATATAATTAAATAATTGTGCCCATAATTATGAAAGTGATCTAAGTCAAAATTAATAAAAAATGAGTTTATCAGTTATTACGCACTACATTATTATAAACTAAATAAATTCAATGTAATTTTCACGATATTGTCAAAAATGAGTCGTTAGATAATGTTTGTTATTTCAATATTGTTTGAATTCATATAGTGTTCAAGTATAAATCTTTAAATATTTCGAAACAAGAGATATATGACTTAGACCACTTTCATAATTATGGGCACATTATCTAGTTAAGGGGTTATACGCAGTTGCGAGGCTCAAAAAAGACGTTTTTTTATGAATTTTTTATAGAAACAGTTTTTATTTATCAATTACAAGTGATGGTTATTCAAATAGGGCCTACTTTTAAGAATACAATAGTGCGTCGATTATGTAAAAGTATTTATGTGCACCACTCCTGTAGATGATCTCCCGAACGATCTCCAAAAAAAGGCGCTTGGCGGTGATCTCCATTTCGGATAATAAATATTTTGATTTTTGACAAAATGGCGTCTATTTGAAAAAAATTGTTCGTTTTTGACTGAAATTTTCGCTCCAAATTGATAAAAAAAAAATAGTAATAATTTTTTTAAATTTTTGTCCTTCGTCCAGTACCTAAGGAATATATATATAAGATTGTGTAAAAATTTGAGACCAATTGGTTGAGCCATTTCTGAGAAATCGAAATCACCGTCTTTGAAAACACCGTTTTGAGAAAAACGCGTTTAAAGTTTCAAAAGTAGTTAACACATAGTTACAATTTTTTTTCTTCAACTTGCATGGTATCATCTATTCCAGGTCCATAAGAGGAACCTTTTACCGTATTGGTAGCTTTTAATAAGTCCAGCTGGTGTTGTCCGTCGAGCCATTCTTCCTTCTCGCGTGCTCCCATGCGCTCTCGCGTCAGAGATCATCACACGCTCTGCGTCCTCTTTGTCGACATAAGCATGAGCTGCGGTGCCTAATGAAAGTTCTAATGCACTCATAAAGTACAGTAATAATTTTGTACCTTCATTAAACATTCCAGTTGCAATGTAAGCCGCTATTTTAACAACTTTAGAGCCACATGGAACAATTTTTGGAGTTATTTTCCATATTAACTGATTATAACTCTCATTATTGTTTTGTGTAAATCCACCAACACACCTTTCCAATAATTTTACGTTGCTAAGGTCTTCATAAATTGGATATATAGCTTCAGCAACATCAGCTGGTAAAGTTGGATAATCATGGGTGTATGAAGATAATGTGTCTGTTTCTAGCGCTTGCTGCCAACTACACCATTAACACGATTTTCACACTTATCACACACTACAACGATTTTAAAACCAAGTTCACGGGGGGAAGCATTTTCAAATTTTATTTTTCCGTCACAAGAGTTACATTTCACCTAATTACTTATCTTAGCAAATACTTAATATTTAGGTAAAAAATATCTTATCTCTGCTGCCTATTGTATTTCATGATATTTTATTTCATAGGCTTATTGCAGGATCTGTTTCACAGAAATTGAATATTATAAAAAATAACAAATATAAAGTTTATCGTCTACAAAAGATTTGGGGGGTAATGGAAATTTAGTACAGCGAAAGATTTAGTACTGAACGCATGACTTTATACTCTGACGTGGCCTTACAAATTCAGGTATATCTCCGAAAATATTTATCGGATTGGCTTCAAATTTTCAGAGAATATACTTAAATATTTGTACATTACGAAAATGCAAAAAAAAAAATCGAATTCTTAAAAATTCTAACTGCGTATAACCCCTTAAGATTGTGTCCTAATTACCAACAAAATAAAACATTACAATTAATGTATATATTATAAAAAAAACATATCTCTTACATTATTGAAATCATATCTCATAAAATGATAATTATTTTTTCAATTTTTAGATTTTACAAACAAAGACATGGCTCAAGTTTATACAGGTCCACTAATAATAGTTGATATACTCTGGACGTTTTTAAAAGTAATTTATTGTATTGGTGAAGCTATATATAAATTACTCGTACCTATGAAAGAAAAAGATGTTAAAGGTGAAATCGTTTTGGTAAGTATGATAAATATGACGTAATTGATTACCATAATGAGTAAACGTTCTTTTTTATAATAGATAACCGGTGCTGGTCATGGAATTGGAAAAGAACTTGCATTGAAATATGCTTCTTTAGGAGCTACAGTTGTATGTTGGGATTTAAATAAAGAATGTAATGAAGAAACAGTGAAGGAAATTAAAAAAATGGGTGGTACATCTGCTTATGCTTATACGTAAGTTGTTTGTTATTCCTGTTTTTAATCAAATTAAATATATCATATATTCGTGTACTTAATTTATTATTAATATTACGATTTAAAAATCATTCATTAGAATTGATTTATTTTATTTGTTATGCAGATGCGATGTATCGAAGAGAGAAGAAGTATTAAAAGTTGCCGAAAAGGTCAAAGAAGAAGTTGGAAATGTTACAATATTAATTAACAATGCTGGTATAATGCCTTGTCATTCGTTTTTGAATAATACACCAGAAGAAATACGAAATGTATTTGACGTCAACGTATTGGCTCATTTTTGGGTACATTTTTTGTTTTTAGATTTATCGATTCTATATGAAACATTAATTTAAAATTGTATATAATAAATACATTGATGAATTTGATCAGGTATTGCAAGCTTTTTTGCCGAGTATGATAGAGAAAAATCATGGTCATATTGTTGCAATTTCATCAATGGCTGGTATGGTTGGATTATCCAATTTGGTACCATATTGTGCATCCAAATTTGCAGTTAGAGGTAACAATCAAAAATGATATCTGTAAATATTGAATTATTCGTAATAGTAATTAATTTTTTTGTTGTTTTTTTTATTTTATTTAGGTTTTATGGAAGCACTTAGTGAAGAATTGCGTGAATATTTCAAGGGTAAAACTTGTAACATAAACTTTACAACTATTTATCCATACATGGTGGACACTGGCCTCTGTAAGAAGCCTAGAATAAAGTAAGATTTACATTTAAATTTAAATATAATAAAAAAATTATATAATAATAAAATATAACATCATATAATATTTATATATTGTAAAATTGATGTTTTATCATTATATTCGCACGCAGATTGGATTGTTGGACTCAAGGTGGTATGTTAAAATAATCCTATGCGATTAATGTTGTTATTATTTAATATATAAATTATTTTGTAATAAGGTTCATTAATTACAGGATATTGAATTGTTTTTTTTTTTTTGATACTTATATGATCTTATATGTTTTATATTAATTATTCAATTTTGCAGGTTCGAGAACTTCTTGGCGATGCTTTCACCGAAAGAGGTTGCTAATTTAATAATCAAAGCACAAAGAATGAACTGGTTAAACATATCCATTCCTAGATACCTTTTTGGACTTAACACAATAACTAGGTAAATAATATCATAATTATCGAATTAAAAAAAAACATGCAAATTTGAAGAATTATTTAAATCATTATTATTATTTTATTTTTTATTGCAGAATTTTTCCTGACAAATCAGTAAACTATTTAAAAGACTTTTTTGATACTGGTGTAGAAGCAAATTAATAAGTTGTTAATAATGATAAGAAATATTTCATTATGTATTTAGGTTACATATATATATATATATATTAATTCAGTAGAATATTTGACATAAATTAAATTATTGAATGATTTTGAATGCTGTAATTGAATTATGTGCGAAAGTTTACGTATTAATTATTTTTTATTTAAAGATTTTAAATAACTGATAAGAGTTTTATGATTTTAATGTAAGTTAGACAAATATTTTGTATTAATAGTAAATTCATAATGTATCAAAATGATAGTGTTTTCGTATTATGATATTTATTTGATAATTAATAGAAAAATAGGCTGTGCACTATTTTATTTGCTATCATTAATTTTTCTAACATTTTATCTATTATTAACCATGTATTATATGATAAAGAGTTTGTTAATTATAAAATTACTAACTACTAAAATAAATGAAGAAACCTTAAATAAATAAGTTAATCGATAAGATAATAAATGTAAACAAATAATAAAGAAAAGTAAAATAATACATTAATTTATATTTTTACCTGTTATAAATAAATGTAAATGTTGGTAACATTGAAAATACATCAATATCTCTTGCCTTGCCATCACAGAGTGAATTAGTTACTAGAGTAGATGGCGCGGTGATCATCAAACACCATCTATCGTCATTATTGATTATGATATAAGCGCCACCTATCGACATTAACGATTGCTGAGTGATCCCATTCGTACGATAATTATCGTACGCGTACGATAATTTGAGGCCCTGTACGATCCAAAATTCGTGGCGTACGATCCATTTGGAATTTCGAAAACTTGATGACTAAAAAAAAAAGGTCATAAAAAGTCTTGAACTTTGAAAAAGTTGGAACTTGGACACTTTTTCCACAGTTTGAAAATTTTGTCCGAGAAATTGTTGGATTTTTGTCGGATTTCAAATTTTCCCGGGGCGTACGATAATTTTCTGCCGCGTACGATAATTTTACGCCCCTGTGTCGATTAGACGAACTAAAGTCTCTGGGATCACTCATTGCGATAATCGATTCTCGATTGTTGGTATCGTATGTGGAATACGTATTACGCTAAGTGTTTGTAATAAGTTATAAAATTAGGAAAATAAATTAAACTTTTAGTATTTTAATTTATTTCCTTCGCAAAAAAATATATTTTTTCTTTTTCTGTATTTAAACTAACATATATAAGTGATCAGTAGGAAATATTTGAAAATTGTATTATATGTTGGCACAACTGAATTTCTATCAGTTCTATAACCTCAAATGCTTGCGCACGTGTTACTGCATTTTGATTGTTTATGATAGCCAAGGATGCATGTGTATAAAATTGTGTGAAAGTTTTATTATAAATAATAGATAGTATATAAATCAATAAATTAAAAATAATGTCACCAGTGATTGATAATGAAATTACAGAAACAATGAGTTACAGTAGTGAACGAAAGAAACGAAAGAAACATTCAATAACATCAAATAATAATATAACTTTGGAAAATGATGAACTTAATAATTCTATTGAAACTGATCAAAATCATGATAAAAATTGTGTTAAAGAACATAAAAAGAAACGAAGTAAGCTTTCATTAACACATTCTAATGATATAACAACAGAGAGTGACTGTAATACTACTTTGATTGAAACCGAAGGAAATCAGGGTGAGAGTCCTAGTAAGGAACATAAAAAGAAACGAGGTAAGCTTTCATTAACACTTTCTAATGGTATAACAACAGAGAGTGACTGTAATACTACTTTGATTGAGACCGTAGGAAATCAGGCTGAGAGTCCTAGAAAGGAGCATAAAAAGAAACGACGTAGCCTTACAACAACATTTTCTAATGATAAAACTGTAGAGAATGATAATAATATTACTTTGATTGAAGCTGAAAAAAATCAAGATGAGAGTCCTGTTAATGAACGTAAAAAGAAGCGTAGTAAGCTCTCATTAACACCTATGAATGGTATAACTTTAGAGAATGACAATAATGTTACTTCAATTGAGACCAAAGGAAATCAAAATGAAAGTCCAGTTAAGGAACATAAAAGAAAACGAAGTAAGCTTTCATTAACACCTATTAATGGTATAACCCCGGAGAGTGATAATAATACTACTTCGATTGAAACCGAAAGAAATCAAAATGAGAGTCCAGTTAAGGAACATAAAAAGAAGCGTAGTAAGCTTTCATTAACACCTATGGATGGTATAACAACGGAGAGTGATTATAATACTACTTCAATTGAGACTGAGAGAAATCAAAATGAGAGTCCTGTTAAGGAACATAAAAAGAAACGTAGTAAGCTTTCATTAACACCTATGAATGGTATAACAACGGAGAGTGACAATAATACTACTTTTATTGAGGCAGAAACAAATCAAAATGAGAGTCCTGTTAAGAAACATAAAAAGAAACGTAGTAAGCTTTCATTAACACCTATGAATGGTATAACAACGGAGAGTGACAATAATACTACTTTGATTGAGGCAGAAACAAATCAGGATGAGAGTATCAGTCAATCTAAAAAGAAACGACGTAAGCTTTCAATAACACCTAATGATATAACTGTAGAAAATGATAATAATGTCTCTCCTATTGAGACTGAAGAAAATCAAGATAAGAGTCCTGTTAAAGAACCTAAAAAGAAACGAAGTAAGCTTTCAATAACACCTACTAATGATATAACCAAGGAAAATGATAATAATACTACTTTGATTGATACCAAAGAAAATCAAGATAAGAGTCCTGTTAAAGAACCTAAAAAGAAACGAAGTAAGCTTTCAATAACATCTACGAATGATGTAACCATAGAGAATGATAATAACACCTCTATCGAAGACGAAGAAGAGGAAGATGAGAATTCAGAAAAAAAATCTGGCAAAATTAATGTTAAAGGATTATCTGGGAAATACTTTAGAAAAGCTTTCGTTTCTCCCCATGGTTTCGACGAATTAAAAACTTTCGTAACTGTCTGTACAGAAAATAAAAAGAAAGATTTAGCTTCTGAATATTTATCCGCTGGTGGAAATATTCTTGAAGTATTAAGATTGCTGGATAGCTCTGATAAAAAGAATACAACTAAAGCTAGTGTCGTGTTTTCGGCGATAAATATTTTGATTATGAAGATTTTGGCCGATTTTCCACAATATTTGTCGAGCGCTGAAGAGGCGTGTCGTCATTTTATTAATTCACATATGTCTTCTGTACATTCCATGTTATCTGCTCAAAGTAGCGCTAAGCAACGTAAAGTAGTATTGAAATTGCTCACAGCAATCGTATCCTTGGGTGGAGCTCTTCCACGAGAATTGATAGCTCATTTACCTGTTCAACCGAAAGCTATAGAAATGCTTGTACAACACGCAAAACCATCAGATTCACAAAATGTAAGAACATGCTACATTCATTTCATCCTTTCATTCTTAATAGAAGGAAATGTTGCAGTTATTAGATCATTAATAGATAAACGTGAAGTACTTACCAGCATTTTTCCTGGATTGATTTACGATAAACAAGAGATTATCAATTTATTATTAGTTAGTTTAAAAAAATATATATTGGAAAACCCTGGAATTAGTAAGACATTGAAATTGTATGTTTTCTCAACACCCGTTGTTCAAAGTTTGATTTCTCTTTATAATTGGAAGGGACCAACTAATTGGTCTAGAGGAAAAAGTAGTAAAACTGCTATTACTAATGTTCCTGCGGACCAAAAAGAACTTGTTACTGATATATTACATGATTTTTTAATCACTTTACTCACATCTCATAGACATGGTATAATTTTTCATGATCGTACCATTGGTACTTCACGCGAGAAACATAATCAATTGATAAATACTGTTCTTGAGAGTTTAGAACGCCCTTGGGAATATGCAAAGCCATCGGATTTAATTGTTAAAATAATGGCTTGTTGTCCAAGTCTCATCCGATCACAGTTACTCTACTTAGAATCTTATCTGGAACCTAGACTCTCCAAAAAGTGGATTACTGTTATGACATTTATAAAACAGATCATTGAAACGGTAGATATGGATGTATGTATAAAAACATGTTCCCCTGAATTAAATACAGTTCAATTAACCAACGCAATAGGATCATTGTGCGTGTCACCATTTTTAATAAAAACTGTTATTATTCCATCTTTAAATCACTCTAGCATAATCATACGTCACGAAGCTATAGAATTATTATTTTGTATGATCAATCAAATGAAAAAATATTTATTAGCTGCAAAATTCTATAATAAAAATGATCTTGAAGTAAAAAGCAGTGTGACAGATTACATCGTGAAGACTGTACCTAATTTAAATATTATATTAAAAGTATGGACTGACGCTTTTGTAATAAACAAGGATACAAATAATTTATCGGAAGATAATAGTTTATCCGAGCCATCTAAACAAAATCATTTTTCTACAATTTTAAATGTACTTCATACGTACAATGACATATGTCCTGAACTTTTGAATACAACGTTAGATGTAGAACCTAATTTATTGTTTTCCGGATTAAATGATTTGTATGACATAGATGACGAAGAATTAATTATATTAAGGATCAAAGCAATACAATTTCTACTTGTCTTAAATTCATCCGAATTTACTCCATCTAAAACAGCATTTGCGGAAATTTTCGAATTTTTAAGTTTTCTTCTGAATGAAAATTCATCAGTAATTTGTTCATATGCAAAAACAACTACCAAAACTTTATTAAATATAACAGGATTGTTTGATGAATGTCACGAACAATTGGATATATGGATAAATGGTTTATGTAATGTAAATAATTCTGAGGAGAAAACGGAACTAGTAAATTGGCTTATTAAAATCATTAAAAATACTATTAAACATATGGATAAATATGTAAATATGATAAGTACAGCAAAAGAAGTTGCTAACGATGGAATAGCAAATGATAACGAATTGAGTAATACAATCAATGAATCTCATTCTATCGAAGATAGAAAGAACATTGAACAATTGTATATGCAATCAGATACATCCATTTTACCCATTTTATGTTGTGCAATTAATAAGTTAAAAGGGAATTCTACTTTTGCTATAACGCAATATATGTCTTATGTATTAGTACATACTCTACATTATCAAGTCAATCCAGGACCATTGATATCTTTGATTACGGATATTCAAGATTTGGAAGGAGGAAAATATTTACTCAGTTGGTGTTCTGATAATAATCCTACCAGTTTACCAAAAATATTTTCATCAATGAATACAATGCATAAATTAAGTAAAGCATTATTGAAAGATTCGACAATAAAATTGAACGAATTGTTCACTGGAGATATAAAATTAACTTTTAATTATGACAATGAAGAAATTATAATAAATCACGCATTATCAACATACGAAATTATGATCCTTTTAAAAATGACTATATTTTATTTAACACATGATATTCGTAAAAATGATTTTAACCAAATGAAATTTAATAATTATAAAAGAATGATAATGTGTTTGTTAAATATAGCAAATACTATACAAGATGAAGATAGTTCTATGTTTGTAAAAAGTTTTGTTAAAACAATATTCAGTCATCCGATAATTTTACAATATTTTTTCTTCCATCAAGATGACAACACTATTGAGATTGCGATAACTAATTTAATTCTTGATATTTGTCAAATAGTAATGAATGTATATAATTTGACTATAACTGATTTACTTACGCCATATAAAAACAAGGCTATTATACAGATTGAAAAAATAGCAAATGAAAAAACTCATCAATATAATTCGATGTATAAAACTATTATTACTTTATTGGAACAATTACAATTTACTGCACAAGATATCGTACATTTGTTTATGGTATTAACGAAATTGGCAAAAATTAAGTTTATGCTTAAAGACACTTCTAATTTATCAATGTGTGGATACATTTTTCCAAAGTTATTGCAACTTTTGTGCAATGAAAATATCAGATGTGTTCAATCCGAAGTATCAAAATTAGATATACAATTTGTTAAAAAAGCATTTACATGTATGATTTTCTTGAAACAACAAAACATATCGGATGTTAATCTATGGGAAACAGCTTTGCAAGAATATCTACAACATTTTCCCCATAATATTGCCGCCATTAATACAAGTAAGATATATTTACATAAATTCATTTATATATATACTTAGTATAAATATATTAAAAACAAGTGTTTATTTACAGATACATTTAAATCCATTTTGAAACAAAGCGTTGATAATAAAAATGCAAAATTAATTTCATTTTTACTCAACAAAAATATGAAATTATTATCCACGTTCATAAAATATGTTCTTGAACTTGAAAATATGAAAGAACACACATATTTGTTGTCGGTAATAGAAAATAATTTGAAATACACATGGAAAGAAGATTTAATTAAAAAATTGAGTGATTCTTACAAGGATGAAATATTACATTACATATTACATCCTGCGGAATCTAAAAATTGGATAGAAGAAAATGTTAATGTCATTTGTTATATTATCGACAAAACATTCGGTGAGTATTTTTAATAATATGAATTCTAATTATTTAATTATACATTAGTCATATATTTATATTTTTATTTGTTTAATAGATTTAGAAAAATGTAATGAAGTATGTAATACCATTTTACAAATTGGTGATCAATTAGAAATGGTTCACACATGTTACATTCACATATTAAAGAGTTTGTATTACAAATACGCACAATTAGAAGAAAATCGTAATATTCAAATAATAATGAATCTCGTTCAAATACTTGTTCACATAATTACATTAACATTAAAAAAGGAATCTAAAAATATCGATAAAGTAATACTTTTGTGTGAAAAATTGAACGATACCATTAATTATTTAAAAGAAAAGAAGAATGATTTTATATTTGAAGATTTAAGTATGAGTCATTCTTGGCCACAATTTACACGTTTTTCATTGAAAATAGGATTTACGTTAACGAAGGATAATAAAACGTATTTACCAATAATAAAAACTCTTGGCACATTATGCGATGTGATTTGTAAAAATGATAGCAATAATGAATATGCTAAGACGATATTTGAAATGACAACTTCTCATTCGGAATTTGTTAATACCATGTTAATGACATCTTCCACAGTTAAAAGTAAATATAATTTCTTTTATTTTATATATAAAATATTAATATCATTTTTCATATTGTATTTATAAATTTTTAGGGGATGTCGTACAGTTGTTGTGGATCTTAATTCAAAAGAATAAATCTTTAATGAAATCATCACATATACCACTTTATTTATCAGCTTATGGTGCAACATTGTCTGAAACGGATCAACTTATTTTACTCGTAAGATATTCTATGTGTTATTATTAAACATTATTAAGATACGTTTATATAATTGTTTATTGTAATAAACAAATTAGATTTTTTTTAGATATTACAATATTACGAACGTAACAAGATTAAAATTCACGAATACCGTCCATATTTGTGGGGTAATGCAGCGGCGATACATTACAGCGTGAAAGGTGATGTAAGCACTGCAATTTGGAGGCAACCTTCTACTTATGAAGTATTGGGTTTATTTGAACAAGAAATTGTGGAGAATACTATCAAATATTATCCGGTAAATAGATCATTAGAGGTACGTATTTTGCTTTGAAATTATCTATTGAAAATATGCGAGTATTATAAAATATCAATTGAATAATTATACTGATATATAATCTTGCTTACAGAGTAGTGAACTGTATAATGCAGGTGATATTTACGATCCAGCATTTTACTTACCTTTACTCTGCTACCTACTATCGGATAATAATATCGTGGCATGCTATAAAATAACACAGAGCGGAGCTTTGGCTCTTATCTTAATAGCATGTAGTAGCAATCACAGTGAAATTCGTATGGCAGCGTATACCGCCATTGCAAGATATTATTTTCATCTTGAATCATCGAGGTATATTATTCATAAAAAAGAAATATGAACATTTTATTTGTTTTTATTTTTATATATTCATTTTAATTTTATTTTATATTTGTTGCAGTTTCAAAGAAAAAGTTCTTTGGATGCGACTTGTAGATTCCTTACGTAACGGAATATTAACAACAAAAAACAATTTGCAAGATATGCATATTATTTCTTTGGTATCTACCTTCTTAGCAAGAACATCTATAGTAGCTACTCAACCATTGCATCCATTATATTTACCACTTCATAATTTTCTTATGGTCAAACCAGCATTGGATTTGAATACAGTACCAGAATTATTACAATTGTTTCATAGTTCTGATGTTAATCATAAAGAACATCGACATTGGATTTTGGAAACTATTCGCGATGGTATCAAAACGGAAAAGGATGTAGAAGTTGCATGTAAATGCATGTTATATAAGATGCTATTAGACTTTTTTACATGCTTGTTATCTGATACAAAAACAAAGGTAAATAATAGGTTTTTAATAAACGAAGAATAATTATATGCATTCTTAATATATGTTTTATATATGCAATTCTTATTTCAGAAACTTATATTAGAAGTAATCGAATCGAGTACAAAAATTCCTAAATCGTGTCTTTTACTTATACGAGGATACGGATTACTTTGTTGGTTGACAGAAACTGTGTTACGATTGAAACATTGTGACGCTCAATGGGTAACTCTTATAATTAATATTGTGTCAAATATTTTGAAAACCCTTTTGGGTGTTAAGAAAGAATATGATTTTTATAAAATTTTGTTACTAAAGATTCTCTTATCTTTACAAAAACATTTAACTCTTGGAATAAGTATAAGCTCGTTCGAGCAATATCTTAATCTGTTACAAACATTACTGGCATCAAATGATCTTAAAAATGTTATAAGTAAAGAGGATATGGAAAGTATAGTCGATTTTTCCAAAAATCTTATTGGGAAAATAGACGAATGCGAAAATATGCTAAATCATGGTTGTAAATTCGTTAATAAGGCAGAACATTCGAACATGAATGAAAACGAATTGGAAAAAACGCGAAAAAGTATGCAAGCGTTGGTTTGGACGTGGTTTAGATACGGTGTAAGATGACATTAATAATAAATTGATTTTAATTGTAAATCGTGATTACTTACCGTACTATTGTACTGTCCTTATTTTTAGAATGTTTCCCTTATTTCCTTGATACAAACTTTTGAAACAAATATACATCATAAAAAACTTAATGGAACTATTACGATTATTATTAGTGTTTCTTTTTCTTTTTTTTCAATACAGGATAAAATGTTTGTACAAATACAGGAGCGTCTGGATCTGTTTCTCTTCCTTTATGGTGTCGAAGAACAAGTACCAGTTTTTTTATATCCTTTTCATTCGATACTTCCTTACATTCATTAAAAAATTTGCCTTTTTGAAGAGCTAGCCTCGGATCATTCACATCTTTTAGCATTATATGAACTACTTCGGTTTTTGAACCTTTGTTCAATTTTTGCATAGCTTCTTGAGCAGCAGGACTAGACAACGCAATATGTGCGGCAAGATCTTGATCATCGCTGCTAAGAAAAACACTTTTAAATTTTTGGTCGCTTTCAGTACAATTAGTAAAACCTGATGAACCAACGGCATGCTTTCTAGGATGACCAAGTACATTATATTCAAAGCACTCTTTATTATCTGATTCATCTAAAATGACTTTAGCATCTTCCGGTGTTGTACCGGTATAACGAGCGCCACCGATCAATAAAACTATTTTATTGTTTTTCTCAAGCCATTTAATTTCGTTCATATAATCTGCCAGTAATCTTACGTTTCTTTTCAGCTGTTTGATAGTTTCTTGCCTCAATTCGGAGGCATTTATACCTGTTTGCTCGGCGATTACAGAAAAAAGGCAATTGTTTAAATCATGGTGAATATTTTCTGGTTGACCTCTCCCCCGAAAGGTCCAATGCCCTTCTTGATTGTTCGTATGATATTCTATATCTATTGGAGTACCTCGTTCATTTTCACCAATTGTTTGCATTAGTTCATGACCGGAACCCCATATTCTTATGGGTGCACCAGTTACATAAGCTAAAGCAGCTAAATGAATCAAACCAGCTGGCCCATAATTTTCCAAATCCCATATCAATCTCCATGCTTGCCTAAGGTTCTCCAATTTTTCAATTGGAGTTGCATTCGATCTATAAGCTCTAACCGATCTATACCTGCGATCTCTACTTAATTCCGATTCTTTTTCATTATCCATTTTTACGACAATTTTCTTTTATCCACGATTATTTTTTTTACTGAAATTTCATTTTTTTAATTTGTCTCGTCCATAATTTGAATTTTTTCTTCGATGCATTGTTACTTTTTTTCTAATATTAATATTCATGTTGTATAAATAAAATAATTGAAATTATTAATAAAATTGTACATTTTTAGAAAATAAGAATCCATCTGAAAGAGAAGATTTTTATAAAAGATATTTACAGAATATATATATAATCACGACAATTAAAATACCTACTTTTTTCTTTTTTGTATCAATTTAGGGTGTAATTTTTCATCGGTAAATTTAGAATTAATTTTGATTAAATCATGATTGACCAAATATTTAAATATATTTTTTTTGTATTAACTCTGTAATTTTGAATACATTGCCTGCCAAAGAACTAAAATTGTTTTGTGCAATTGTTTCAAAAAAAATTTCGATATATTATATCGAAATAATTCGATAAGTTAAAAAAAGAAAATTCAAGCGTAATTGCATGTATTTTTTTTTTACTCATGCCAGTTAAAAAATTCGAAAAGTTTGAAAGTAAATTAGGAAAGTTAGAAGATGTAAATTGTCGAGGTTTTGTCATTGTAGGGTTTAAATATATTAAAGATATTAAGGAAATAAGAGAAATCGCCATTTTTCCTGTTGAGAGAGAGGGAAAGGTGGTTAAGGGCTGCCAGAAGGAAGAGGAAACGATCGTTGGCAGCTGAAAGAGGTGGGGAAAAGGAAAGATAGAAGGGGTGAGAAGCAAGTGAAGTGGGGATCTAACAGATCCCATAGCTCGATTCGTGGGTTTCACCGGGTCTCTTCGACGATCCATGGATCAGTCTCGGTGCAACCGTCCTTTGGGTTTGGTTGTCTTTATTTTTTTTTATTATTCTCTTTTATATTTTGATTATTATTATATCTTGACTATGAATATGGGTAACACTTTATACTTTCAATTGGATTATATTTTTTTCGTTAAAATTTCAATGCATTTTTTCGGTATTATTTTTGAACCAGTGACAACAATGAGAGCCTGACGAAGGATTTATGAAAATAAGTGTAAGATAAAGAAAATTTTGGTATGTGTGCGTTACAAGGCTTTTTTTTATTAATGTGTACAGAAAAGTGAAATTCTTAGTTTTTTTCTTATTGTGTTAAAATTGTAAAAAGAATTTTTGAGTGAAAAACACGACGATACGTTTCAAAGTTTACTCTCACAATCAGTGTTATTAAATTTTTATTTTTTATTATATTATGTTTCTTTTTTTTTCTTCTTATAAATATTATCAAGGATATAAGAAATAGAAGAAAAAAAATATAAGAAATATACGTGTGCATGACGATGCGATAGTTCGGGCATCCAAGTTGATAGAACGAAGAACAGTTTTATATGCCGTCAGTCCTTCCGTCGGAGAGTTCGATGCGTGGATAAGAAACTCTTTTCTTTCGACGAACAAAGATCAAACTGTTCGTTCAATTCAACACGAATCAAAAAGAAAATTTGATTTCAATTTAATTATAAATCATTCGACGATGATATCTCAGATAATGTAACATAGTTTCTTTTATTTTTTTTCTCATTAATATCAATCACAATGAAATATTTCACTAAAACGGGAAAGAAAGTAAATTAAATTTACCACCGTTTCGAAATTTCGTGATTTGTTTATTTTTGCTTTTATTTTTAACAGACAGGTGGCGCTAACAATTGGCCCGGTTTAAAAACGCGCCAATCGTTGACGATCTGAATTTGTTTTTTGCTACTTTGCTAAACGGTCGTTAGTTCTTGTGACGGATTTGAAAAGACGTTATTATCGTGAAATAAATCGCGTAACAATTTCGTAATACACGAGATTAACCTCTAATGATATCTTTGTAACATTTAATGAACGAGTTTAAACGAATTAGTGAGTAGTTTGCGAATTTTTGTCGATTGGAATTCGTCGCGACATAGTTTAGTGAATTCTACGCGTTTAACTGTGTTTAGTGCGTGTGTGTATATATGTGTCGTGTGTGTTTTCTTTTTCTGTGTTTGTATACGCGTGTTGAAACAGTGTCTTTCTTTATATTTCCCAGTCATTTATCATCGTTCTTTTCTATGATGGATACAAGCTGAACGAATATTCATTTATCCGTTGGATTCTTCCTTCGGAAATAACTACTTTTCAAAGGGCATGTATGGCTGGTAAATATCACACACATATACATATATTATTAATATTTCATATACATACATTATCTTATAAATAAAAGAGATGTTCTTTATGAATGGATATCACAAAGTTTGAAACAAATTCGAATCGTCAGCTCGATTATATTACGTTGCATTATATTTTTACGCTACTTTGAAGTTAACCTTCAAATTATTATTACCATTATGTTGAATTTTTTTTTAAGAAATTAAGTATGTAATATATAATACTATCATTTAGATAGTATCACATAAATACATAGGGACATATATATATATATATATATATATATTTCCACAACCTTGAGTTTAGACCATATACTATCTATTTTTTTATTATTATAAAATCACAGACATATTATACGTTTAGTATAAATTTAACTATTAAATAATTAACTTTCGATCGTTAAACAAATTTATTAATATCACTAAAATATGTCTGCGATTTTTTCAAATTTAGTTACGCGAACCCCGTACACATAGAATCATACTTTAAGTATTCCTCGTGACATTAGGATATTTAAATGAATTTTTTTGACAAAAAAAAAAGATAGAACTGTAAAGTTAAAAACGTAAAGTTTATTTTTTTTTCCTTTTTTTTTATTTTTCTATAAAAAAAATATTCGTACGGGTAGACATATTGGTATGGTCGAACGGTTGCTTTCGATTCTCGAAAGTCATCGACTTTTCGAAGAAGATGGAGTTTAACGGCCATAAAGAAGTGCCGGTATGGAAACCAAAGAGGAAGAAGGGAAAAAATGCGTATATACCACCTACAAAATGTTATTCTCGATTCTTGTACGTGCTACGTTCACGTGTGCATCGTCTTCTCATTGCTGCTGCTGTTGCTGTTATTGCTGCTATATAACGTATGGAATATATGCATCTATGTATATACATACATACATATACAGCCATACATACATATATATATATATATATTTTCTATAGAAGAGTATTTTCACTAGAGTATGCGTACGAAAGGATTGTACGTTCGAGGAACGTTTTCTGTTTCCTCTCACGCACGAATGAACGTTCAGGCACGTAGCTATTCAATACGCATCCGCTTTTGCAGTCGTGGCATTGGTAATAAATGTATTAGCCCTATTGGTCACGTAAAGATGCCAATGTAACTACCTAAAATTCTTTCTAATTTTCCTTTTAATTTTACTTACTTTCGTTATCCTATATTTCTGATTATTTACCTTCATTAATGTGATAATTATTAAAGTAGCGTAAAGTATGCGTAGTGATGACTACGTGGGTCAAATTGTCCTGTAATATTAGTAGAGTGTATTAGAATACTAAAATAATTTAATATTTAAATAATATAATATATATATTTATTATATATAATATGTTAATATTATTTAAATAATATAAATTGTTAATTAATCGAAAAAAATCTCTATTGTTATTAAAAAGCACGGAATATATGTCTGGTGCACCGTCTTCCTCGAAATTCACCTTCAGACTGGCACTTTATTGTCCTCAATGCAAATTCTTATATTCATTGTTGTTTATATGACTGTCCGAACGTTACGCATGTGCATATCGGTAATAATTCATCTAATTTATAGTATTAAAGATTGTAACGTTTTAATTTTAGAATTTTTTAACACGTTCGTCGCCCAGCCCGTTTCGGTTGAGTTTCTCGTCAGGCCCAAAATTCGATTGTCGGCGTGCCGTAACGTAAAGAAGCGATAAGTAGAAATATCAAGAATGCAACCCGAGTATTATGGTTATATTATATTATTATATTTTATTTTCCGAAAATAATAAAATATAAAAATATCTTATATTTACCGAAAATAATTTTGTTTCGAAATGGGAAATGTGATAAGTTTTTCCAACTAAAAATACTATAATTTCAACAAGAAGAGCGTCACCGTATACGGTGACGGAGCCCCCGGAGAAGCATGCCTGTCTCCGGTATATGGTGCCATGGCGACGAACGTGTTAATTTAATTATTTTAAAGTAAAATCAGTTTGATTAACTTGGTACCAATATATCATCGAATGTACATCATTAGTCAAGTGTGTGTACTTCTTTTGTTAAGGTTTATTTGAATTTATTTTGTATTTTTACATAGTATTATAATAATAATTAAGATAGTTTAACGAGATTGAATAAGATAAATGTTTTAGATTTTATCATAAGTTTTGAAAAGTACTATTGTTTAAATTTTGTTTATAAAAAAAAGGATACGAAAAGAAGAAAAAGATGAAGAAGAAGAGATGATCAATTATTATATCAGTTGATATAATAATTCCAGTAGTTAATCTAATGAACCTGAACAAATAGATGAAAGTAGTAGTAAGTTTCCTCATTTACTATAGTTATAGGAAAAGAGGTTAGGTTACTACGATCTTGTTTTAGATCGGTAAAATCCCGAGGCTTAAGAATAGAATGGTTTGCCAAGTAAAACGAAGGAAGATTCTCTATCTTTTTTTCTTCCTTTTTATTTTATTGTCTTTTTTTTAGTCTATATCTCGAACTCCGCAATAGAGCGTGACGCTGGTGGTGATTCCAACAAACCAGATATATATTATCCTACGATCGTTATCGGTCTGCGTTATATGCCGCGTACCGTAAAGGGTGTAACTTTGCCACGATATAAACGACGAGTTTAACGCATTCCTGATATATCCCTTGTAGGTACAACCTTCGTGAACATATTTTCAACTAATTAGAATCCGTTAGTTCGAACCATTTAAGAGTCTCGATTATTTTTAATAAAATATGAAATCTCGTAGTTATCTTTATTATTTTATGGAACAATGAAAGTCTTGTAAAATGATTTTATACATTGTTGTTTTTTTTAAACATTAGAATTATTACAGTTGTATGCTATGTATAACCTTTGTTATTATATACAATGTATTTTTATTTATATACTATATATAACCTTTTTTTTATCTTAACATATTGGGTTGGCAAGAAAGTAATTTCGGTTTTCTAGTGTAAAATATTACTTTTTCTTGCCAACCCAATAAAATGATTATAGTTAATCTCAAGGATGGTGTATTAAAATTTTGTCCATGGTATTGCAATCCTTGAAGTAATTAATTTTTATTTAAATTAAATTATTAATTAAATTAATTATTAAATTTTTCTTCTTTTGTTTACTATTTTTTTTTAAGATTGTTTCAAAATTTAACAATATTATAAAATACTAATTAAATAAATTCATCAATACACAAAATCATTGAGTATAAAATTAAATCAAATTTAAATATTATTACATATTTAATGATAAAATAAATTTTTAGATTGATAATTCTATCACAATGAAATATCTTAATAAAAGTATATCATTATACGTGTGTATGTGTGTCTCTATCTCTCTCGCTCTTTCTCATCAGATCTTCTTTCCTGATCAGGTCGAGTGTATCAATTAAGACCGATCGTTGATGACTCAATTTTCTAAGTTGGATCGTTCACGATGATCCCCAACGGAGTTAGTTGGACACCGCGTAAGAATTTAATGAAATGCGAGTGCATCCTACGAAGAAAGGGGGGTTCTTCGTTTAATGACGTTGTCCCGTGTAGATAAGCAACCGAGCATCACGCTGCGAAATTCCAGTTAAATGGGAAAGAAGTTTACACGTGTATGTATAGGAAAACATGTGATGTTAGTATTGGTGATGATGGTGGTGGTGGTGGTGGTAGTAGTGGTAGATGAGGGCTTGGTTAAAGAGAAAAGAAGAAGGGTTAAGGGGAGGAAAGAGGGAAGGGTAAGGGAATTCGAGTTACTGAGAGAAGTAAGTAACCTGTAGTCGTTATAACGGCCGCAAAGAGAGGAGAGAGTGAGAGAGAGAGTATATTTCTCTCGAGATACGGATTTGATGAGTTTGAAAATAATTTACCTTTACGAGCTATATATATATATATATGTGTGTGTGTGTGTGTGTGTGTATGTTATATGTCCTTTTGCAGAAATATTCAAGCAGAAAACTAGAAACGGCACGGTTTATTTCATTTTTGTTTCTTTTTTTGGGGGGTTTGTGTATATGAAAATAATGTTGTAAATAAATCGATTAAATTTAACGAGAAACTAACGGACGTTTAACAATTACGTTAAATTTCAAGCTAGTTTTTATAGTTAATGATTTGATATTTAATGTAATAATAAGATTAATCGTGTGATTTGATTTTCAACGTTGCAACCATTTCCTATTGGGAGGCTATATGATTAATATTAATATAATATAATAAAATTAATAATATAATATATAATTAATATTAATATAATATAATATAATATATTTGGTGTATAACTTTGCTTTCACCATTTTCCTACAGAAGATGGCTTATAGAAAAAATGGCGGAAGCAAAGTTATACACCTATTAATATATAATATAATATATAATTAATATTATGTATATTATATATACATTTGATTACACTATTACCATTTAACAATTGTTTTGTTGTTAATAAAAAAAATATTTTTTTGGTGGAGGGGTCGTTAATTTGTCTATGAGATACGATTTTTGAAAAATTTGTAAACATGATTTTATCTTTAAAACGTTTTGTTTTACGTTTGTTTCAAAGTATTTTTAAAGAGAAGAAACAAAACAAGAAAAAAAGGAGAAACCTTTTTCAGAGAAAGGTTCGGGTTAACATTTAAAATCGTTTAGCATAGACGATTACTTCTAATCACGTACGATACTAACGTGAGTTAATTAATTTATTAAAAGGTTTATCACACCTTGCCCCCTTACGTTACAAAGTGATCGGCCGTTTTACGTGGTGTATAACCGGCTCTCTCTCTATTATAAATCTCATCGATAGTAGTGGTAGTATAAATATATATATATATAGGTGTGCATTTAAATATCAGTGAAGATAGACGTTAATTGCAATCATTTTTTTTCCTTTTTTTAAGATAGTGTTCTGCTGACTCTCTCAATAGAAGAATCAAGCATTTTTTTATGGGGCCTTTTTAACCATATACATTCGATATTAAATCGATTTTTTGTTTTGGTT